TACAATTTTTTGTGCTTTGAATGTGTAAAAATTAATTTGTTCAATGCTATAAAAACTGGATTTATATGAAGTTTCTATTAAAAATAAGAAGAATATTCGATATCACATTTTTTGTCATTTTCCAATACCCATCCTTGCAGCCCAGAGAGTCAATAGATCTTGAATTGCTAAATCAAACCTACATGTATAGCTACTGAGCTATACAGTGTATATTACAGTTAAGTTTTCTTTCTTGATTTCTTTTTTTTCGCTGACAAGATGGTTGTTATCTTGAAGTTTTCCGCCTAGGCATATGATGACATGACATTAACGTGAGAATGCGAAAGGTTCATTAGACTCTATATAAATATTTATATTTGCACCTCTTAAATTGAATCCATTGCAAAAATCAAGTGCAGCATATTCTACAAAGACATTGAAATAAAACATGTTAGGATGGATATTGTTTATCATGTATAAAAGCATAGTTATCTGATATCCACGAAAAAATATACATATATATATATATATGGGGCAAAGAAGTAATTCCAACGTCAGTGTGGACAAGTTTAGGTTGTTAAATTTTCGGAGCGATCCGCTCCTTTCTCAAGACACAGTGAAACGGAACAGTTACATGTACATATACATCATATTACAAGAAATAGAACTGGTATACTGTAATTGAAAATATAGCTATTATATAAAAAAAACCCACAATATTCCCCTCGGCTAAAGACAGCCGAAGGCAGCAATTAAGGTGAGAACATCGCGGACAAGGAACACTCGCTCTCCCAATTTCGGTTCGATCCCCAGCGGTGGTGGAAACAAGAGAGTGATGTCTGATAGGGTTAGTTGTTATCCCTCCGATGGCACGGTGGTTTTCCCCCCGTGAGTTTCCTCCTCCACGAAAACACCATTTGTTCCCTTAGCGGCGTCGTAATAAAAGCTCTACAGAGCTTATGTTTGTTGTTGACAATTGTACACGACGTTAAATAAAGATTATTATGTATTTATTATTTATTATAACGCTGATGTAGAGGACCTATTCTTGCGTATGTATATATATCTTTACGAATAAGCCCTTTGGATTACTTCAAACTTAACTTCAATGATTTATAAATATTGTATCCAGAGAGAATTTATGCATAGTATTTTACAATAAATTTTGTCCTTTTTATGTGTAAAAAAAAAAAAAAAAATTCAATGCTATAAAAACTGGATTAATATGAAGTTTCTATTAAAAATAAGAAGAATATGCGAAATCACAATTTTTGTCATTTTTCAATACCCATCATTCCAGCCAAGAGAGTCAATAGATCTATATATATATATTGTGGATAAATACATTTGTTTCAGCAACTTACTGACTACATGCTTTATATGTCTCTGCTTTATATATAGTTTTAGCAATAGAGAAAATGTATTGTTTCCTCAATTTGAAATTGAATCAGTTCAGCACATAAAACTGTATAGAATTGTTTTTTAAATCGTGCAGATTTGTAAAACAGCAGATTTTCTTTTATGAATAAAAAAAAAATAGCTGTTAGATAGTAATCAAAAATGAAAATGTAACAGTATGGATTCAATTTTTTTCTTGTTTTTTTTTTTCGTGCAAAATATCAATTAAAAAATTCTTATGAAAATACTGGTATGTTTTTTTATTCTATCATTTTGTTGACAACCAGCACGTTGTTTTGTTGATATTCCGTTTTCAAAATATATACCACTGCACTCTACCCAGAGTTGTCGTAGGGAGTGCAAGGACCGTAACTCTGCGTGATAGTCTCGTTCAACCAGACTCTTGTTGTCTGCGCAAGCGTCTGATTGAACGGGACTACACTGCCGATACAATAATTTTTCGACCATTCAGAACTAGAGCAATATAGCCGGTAACGTTGTCAAGAGAACTTACATCTTTAACCGGAAAGTATCAACTATTTAAGTATCCTATAGTTATATATAAGTTTTAAATCTACGAAACCGTTTCGAGATCAAGATGGCGGAGACTACAGCGCGTGCGACTGGCGGCCATGTTAAGACAAGTTTTTCAGTTCCATAGGTATTGTGAATAATCTTTATTTTTCTTACATACGTGTTACCTATAGGGAGAGCTTCGCTCTCACGGGCCCTTCGAATTTGGGCCCGTGAGAGAGCTCCGCCCTCTATAAATTTAATCCTTCTCTCCGGGATAGTCTGGTTCACGTCTTGCACCCCTCATCTGTTACATATAAATATACATAGTCCTCAGTTTATTAAGTAACATACGTCAGCCCGTGATTATTCTGTTCTTATTGTTTTAGAATCTTTGTATCACGTATACTAACTGTACTACTGCAATATATATGAGATTGCAATCGTCATATTTGGTCTTCTTTTATTCTAATTATGCAACTTTTTTAAGATACCACACTTTTTAATTTTGTACACAAGTTTGATCACAACTTATAGGCTATAGATTCACTTGTTGGAATTTTAGTTTAAAACCAATCGTGCAGTTGAATTACATTACCCCTTCGGGGGCCCCTTGAACTTTCGCAAATTTCTGATTTTAAAACACCAATTTCTCGTTAACCACGAGGATTTTGTAGGTTAGTGTTTCACAACTATCATCTTAAATGTCTTCTTACATAAAAATAAAATAAGATTTGTATATAGTGTAGACGTAACAAGTACTTAATGCACATTGTTTATGTTCCTTCATCGGTAGTGTAGAATGTGCGAGAATGACAGCTGTCTGGCTATATATTCTATATTTTTCCTTATTTTAAGAAGTTATGTTACTCCCGTTCCCATTATCTTTGATAAATCTCGTTCAATGTGACCAGTTGGTTAATTCTATTCTACAGAGTTGTCTTAAAATACGCCAAAATCGTAACTAAAATGAGCCTTGGAACATTTTTTTTTCCTGTTGCTTGCCATGGTGCCGCGGAAAAAACTCTGATGATCACGTGATCAAACATGCTCCGCCCCTCATTGATATTCATGAGGAAAAGTGGCCCTCATTTCTCCATATGCCTACACAATTAGTGAAAAATGAATAAAATACAACAGAAAACCAAGACTATATACTGCACCGCTTCGACTTTACCGCGATAGGAAGTTAAAAGTTTTCCCGAGCATGCGCAGAGAAAAATACGAAACTGTGCATAAACTGTGCTATTCAAAAGCTGAATTAAAATTACAGAGGTGCAATGTGCCACATTCCAATCGAACACACTCAATTAAAGGGAGTGCAAGGACCGTAACTCTGCGTGAAGATTGGCTACTCCCGTGACGAAGGATTTTGGAAGCATAGTATTTCGACGTTACCATGACTTCAATTGTTCGTACATGTTACCGGGAAAGAAATTCTTCTTCGGCGCAAGAAGAGCTGCGCTCTTATAATATTTGTATCTTGTCACATGATTTAAACCAGTTAACAAGAAAGTTATAAGGTTGAGTACAGAATCCAAGCATGCTTGAGCATGTGAACGGTTTACAATACAATACAATACAATAAACTTTATTTACGTCGGATATTTAAAACATTTAATATTAGCAATTAAAAGCTTTTATTCCGACAAACATAAATAAAAAGAATCAATTCAAGTAATTACATATATAAAACACTATGAAACATTAACAGAAAGTGTTAAAACATAAGTCTCCATGCAAAGTTATAAGCTAAATATATATACATGCATACATATAGCAGGATAGTAATTTTTACCATAAAATACATATTAGCATAAAACATTGAAGCAAAGCACATACACATAAAAACGGACATTATGAACTACAATTTTCCACTGTCAGCACTATATATAAAACATATTTACAACATGTAAAACAAACGGAACATAGTAATAAAATAACTTAAATGAATAAAATAATAATAAGAGCAAACATTCGCACAAATCCGAAGAAGCAGCATAAAACAAAAGTGTCTACTTTTCTGAGATGATTGGGGAGACTGTTCCATACCCGGGCGGCCTCGTAGGAGAAAGATTTGAGTCCATACCTTGTAGTGTTGACCCTAGGTAATACAGCTGTATTCTCTTGCCTGCACTTGTAATTAGTTACCTTTATTTCAATGGATAAAGCGTGGAGAGATTTTCTTAACTATTTTATAGACTTCACACGCCATGTCTCTCAAACGTCTTATATGTTGTAAATCAAAGGAAGTCGAAAAGTCACTGTATACAATAACAAAACGTAGTGATCTTTCTTGATTTTTTTCCATTTTCCGTACACTTTTTACCGAACAGAAATGCCAAACAAGAGGGCAATAATTAAAACTTGAAAGAAGGAACGAGTTATAAATAATTTGTCTCCCTTTCCTAGACAAAATTTACCAATTCTTTTCAGTACAGATAATTGTCTGGAGGCTTTTTTACAGAGCTCTAAGATGTGATAGTCAAAGTTCAATAAGTAATCAAAATTTACACCTAGTAATTTGACATTGTTTTCACAATTAGGAGATAAACCTCCAATATCAAAAGATTTGATTTTATCAAATGGTCGTTTTCCAATGCTGATTGCCTGAAACTTTTCAGGATTGGCTTTCATATCATTTTTACTAAACCAATCAATAACATGGGTACAATCTTTTTCTAAAATGGATTTTAAGACAGTAGGATCCTTATGGGTGTAACCTATAGCATTATCATCTGCATAGTTGTAAAGAGATGAATCTTCAACACAATCAAAAATATCATTTATAAATATGTTGAAAAGAAAGGGGCCCAGGATAGATCCCTGGGGAACCCCTTTATCTTTTTCAGGTTTCATGAATATGGCACTGGAGTGTCGAGGATATCTAAGCATGAGTTGTTCTATTATTTTAGTATGAATACTAATAAAACTTAGAACTTAGAATTACGGCGATAATTATCTAACCACGACATGTGGTTGTCCGTAAAATTGTAACATGGTGTAATTCGTGTTACGGTAAATGCCGCTCCGTAATGCCGTTGCTCCGTAATGCCGTTGCTCCGTAATGCCGTTTCCGCATCCATAGTTTTGAAAACACCCGAGTTATTCCGAAAGTTAACACATATTTTACTCGAAAGGTTCCGTGATGGCTGCTGATGAGGTAAGTCTACGTGAAAGAAATTTATTATTAACTGTTTTATTATGTCATACGATGTCCTTTCATGAACATCAGTCATTCATTGAAATTTTGAAAGAAATCTTGGAATGAAAAATACGCGTGATGGTTTCGTATTTGTAGATCTACAACAAGATGAATCTACATCTAACTGTCCCTATATGATCTTGTGAATCTATCAAGTAGCATTAGGTGACCAGTTTCTGAGCCCTTAATCAGTCAGTTATAAGGTCCAACAATCAAGCTTCTTGAAAGATATCAAGCCTAAATTTCTGGTCACACTTAAAAGCGTCTTCAACCAACAACAAACGTCTTCAAGTGACAACAAGCGTCGCCAGACAAAATCTTCAAAAATACTACATAAACTAAGTGACATTATTCGAATGACTATAATGCTTCAACTTCAACTTCAACAGGATATTCTAAAACGTTCAATATACTGAACATTATTTAGAGGCGTCAGAAAGATCGGTTATTTTTAGAACTGTATGATAAAAACAACATGTACATATAGAATTTGTGAGAAAGAAGGTTTGCCTTCAGTGTTGAGAGGTCTGCACTGTCGGCGATGAAGGTTGGGAGGCTGTTCCAGGTACAAATTGTTCTAGGAAAGAATTAATTTGCATGATAATTTGTGGAGCTGTGTGGAATCTGGAATTTGTGTTGTCGGGTTCGCTAGAGAATGTGGAGGTTGCCATCATATGCCACAAGGCTGTTTATGATTTTATATAGTAATATGCATAAGGTGGAGGTCATTTTTACGGCGTTGTTCAAGGGATTGCCAGTTGAGGGTTTGGAGCATTTCTGTAACACTACTGGTGTAGTTATAGCACCCAAGGGTGTATCTGGCGGCTCTTCTCTGCACCATTTCAACTTTATGGGTAAGGTTTTTTGCTTTGCATCTTAGGGATGAATTTGCCTTGCTGGTAATGTTATTGATGTGGGTGTTCCATGAAAAGTTTTTAGTGATGGTTAAGCCGTGGTATTTAGCCGAATCTGCTTGCTTTAGAATTTGTCCATGGAGAATATAGTTAAATTTGTGTGTCAGCCTTTTCTTTGAGATGTGTAGAATTTCACATTTATCAGGGTTGAATGACATTAACAAATTTTGTTCCCACTTTTCCAGAAGATTTAAGTCTTTTTGTAGTGTTTCTGCATCAGAGTCTGATGAAACAGTTTTATAGACAATAGTGTGGTCTGCAAAAAGTCTAACTTGGCTTGTGATAGTGTCTGGTAGATCATTTAGGCCAAAAAAATTATATAGTCTGTTTAGGGTTGCATTTGCAAAAAAAGAGGAGAAGAAGTGATAGTGATATTAGTGAAGCTGTTATTGTTTGTGGCCCAGAGAAGAAGTGATAGTGATATTAGTGTAGCTGTTATTGTTTGTGGCTTAGAGGAGAAGAAGTGATAGTGATATTAGTGTAGCTGTTATTGTTTGTGGTCCAGAGGAGAAGAAGTGATAGTGATATTAGTGTAGGTGTTATTGTTTTGTGGCCCAGAGGAGAAGTGATAGTGATATTAGTGTAGCTGTTATTGGTTGTGGCCCAGAGGAGAAGAAGTGATAGTGATATTAGTGAAGCTGTTATTGTTTGTGGCTGAGAGGAGAAGAAGTGATAGTGATACTAGTGAAGCTGTTATTGTTTGTGGCCCAGAGGAGAAGAAGTGATAGTGATATTAGTGTAGCTGTTATTGTTTTGTGGCCCAGAGGAGAAGTGATAGTGATATTAGTGTAGCTGTTATTGTTTGTGGCCCAGAGGAGAGGAAGTGATAGTGATATTAGTGTAGCTGTTATTGTTTGTGGCCCAGAGGAGAAGAAGTGATAGTGATATTAGTGTAGATGTTATTGTTTGTGGCCCAGAGGAGAAGAAGTGATAGTGATATAAGTGTAGCTGTTATTGTTTGTGGCCCAGAGGAGAAGAAGTGATAGGGATATTAGTGTAGCTGTTATTGCTTGTGGCCCAGAGGAGAAGTGATAGTGATATAAGTGTAGATGTTATTGTTTTGTGGCCCAGAGGGGAAGAAGTGATAGTGATATTAGAGTAGCTGTTATTGGTTGTGGCCCAGAGGAGAAGAAGTGATAGTGATATTAGTGTAGCTGTTATTGTTTGTGTTTGAATTGTAGTGTTCTTACCTCGTGTTGTCTGTTATATCCTTAATAGCAACGTCCGAAAATAGTGAATGAATGGAAACCGTTAGTAAACAAAAGATCGGAAAGAAAATGGCGGGAGATATGAGCAAAATGTCAGGAAAAGAGTTTTGTTAGATGCGGAAGGCAGAGCTCGAAAAAACAGATGTTGTTAGACGCGCATGCGCACAAGACCCAAACTCACTTTCATGGACTAGATTTAAAAGTGTGAATAAAATGAAAGTTTGAATTAAGATTTCATTAAATTATTGCTTTAAATGCTTGGACTGACATCAGGAAACGAAAAAGAAATGATGTCTTTCCCAACTTCAATGATGGATTTTTTCCATTTTTCTTCAAATTGCTTTAACATGTAAGTCAACCTATTTGTATGAAATTTATGAATATGTATTACTTCTGTCATCTCTAATGTGTTTTGAAATATAGAAAAAAGTGTACTGGGCTTGTTCTCGGACACAATTTGCCTCGATCACTCCATTCAACAAAAATTCAAATGACTTTTAATTGTAAAACACATTTAGAAATAATTAAACAGCTTCCACTCTCACCACCTGGTTGTTACTTGAAGGACCAGTAAGTATATACTTCCTGGATGTTACTTGAAGTACCAGTAAGTATATACTACCTGGTTGTTACATGAAGTACCAGTAAGTATATACTACCTGGTTGTTACATAAAGTACCAGTAAGTACCAGTAAGTACATTTGTATATACTACCTGGTTGTTACATGAAGTATGTACCAGTAAGTATATACTATATATAGCTACCTGGTTGTTACTTGAAGTACGTACCAGTAAGTACTACCTGGTTGTTACTTGAAGTACCAGTAAGTACTACCTGATTGTTACTTGAAGTACCAGTAAATACTACCTGGTTGTTACATGAAGTACCAGTAGGTACATGTATATACTACCTTGTTGTTACATGAAGTACCAGTACAGATATACTACCTGCAGGTTGTTACATGAAGTACCAGTAAGTAATATATAGCTACCTGATTTTTCCTTGAAGTACCAGTAAGTATATACTACCTGATTGTTACATGAAGTACCAGTAAGTATATACTATATGAAGCTACCTGGTTGTTACATGAAGTACCAGTAAGTATATACTACCTGGTTGTTACTTGAAGTATATAGCTATCTGGTTGTTACTTGAAGTACCAGTAAGTATATACTACCTGATTGTTACTTGAAGTACCAGTAAGTATATACTACCTGGTTGTTACTTGAAGTACCAGTAAGTAATATATAGCTACCTGATTGTTACTTGAAGTATAGCCATAAATACCATGGCCACCTGATTGTTAGTTGAAGTACCCATCAATTCAACAAACTGAAGCACAAACAAATTTTGCTTCATATTTTCAGAAAAGTACCAGATTCAAGAACTTCCCCTTATTGCTAGCTTGAACTTAACATGAGATTCAAACTAACAAAAGAAATGCCTTGACCAAATATATATAAACAGTGATATTCAATACAATGGGTTAAGCTTATGCCATACTGCAGCGTCCGTCCGTCCGTCAACTTTTCCTTGAAAACGCTACTTGTCCCCCCCCCCCCCCCCCCCCCCCTAGGGGCAGAGGTGCAGGGCCCGATAGGGGAATTATAGCAAATTCTTTAAAATCCTTCTTCTTCTGTAGGAATGAAAGGATTTGTTCCATATTTGGTCTGAAGCATCCTTGAGTGAAGGGGAACCAACTTTGTATATACCTACATCTGGTCCCCAGGGGCCTGAGGGGCGGGGTCAAAAGGGGGCAATTGGGCTACCTGGTATATTGATTTAAGCGACTTCTTCTCTGGAACTAAGAAATGGATATCAACCATATTTGACTGGAAGCATCCCTCAGTAGTGGAGATTCAAAATTGTACAAGTGGTTGGGCTGACCCCCCACAGGGCTAAGGGTTGGGGCCAAAAGGGGGCAATTTGGCTATATTGCTACATTCTATAGAATTATATGCACTGGATATCAACCATATTTGATTAGAAGCATCCCTAGGTGGTGGGGATCCGAAATTGTACAAGTGGTTGGGCTGACCCTCCAGGGGCCAAAAGGGGACAATTTGGCTATATTGCTATAAATGACTTCTTCTGTAGAATTATGCCATGAATATCGATCATATTTGGTCAGAAGCATTCATGGGAGGCAAGGATTCAAAATTGTATAATTGGTAGGGCTAACCCCCCTGTGCTTAGGGGTGTGGCCCAAAAAAGTTTATTGCTTGGAAATGGTTGAGATCCCCAAGGTATAACCATACATACAATTGTGGAGTATAAAGAGATTGGCATGCACATTTGCTTCCAGGATGGCCTAGGGTCTGGCCCCATCCTTTGAGACATAGTCCTTGGGTCATAACTTTGAAACGGTTGAGATCCCCACCCGTAGACTATAAATACAAATGCTGGACAAAAAGTGACGAATGCAGTCATGATATTATAATTGGTCCTGGGGTCTTGCCACAACCCTAGGGATCTAGTTTCTGAGTCACAGCTTGGAAACAGTTGAGATCCCCACCCTATAACCATGCATATATACAATTGCTGAGTATAAAGAGATGAATGCACATATGCTTCCAGGATGGCCTTGGGGTCTGCCCCACCCTTGCATACTTAACCCCTGGGTCATAACTTTGAAACGGTTGAGATCCCCACCCGTAGACTATAAATACAAATGCTGGACAAAAAGTGACGAATGCAGTCATGATATTATAATTGGTCCTGGGGTCTTGCCACAACCCTAGGGATCTAGTTTCTGAGTCACAGCTTGGAAACAGTTGAGATCCCCACCCCATAACCATACATTAAATTGCTGGGCATGAATGTCTAATACAGACATACTACAAGAATTGGCATTGGGGTCTGGCCTATTCCCTTGGATCACATTTGGAGAATATTTTGCCATGATTGATTAGATATCCAGGTGAGCGATACAGGCCCACTGGGCCACTTGTTTTTTGGACACTTCAATGTATCATGATTTTATCAGTGACAGTGTTTCTGGGATTCTCACTGGTCTGTAAGTGAAAGGTCAGGAGTGGGGGGGGGGGGGAAACCTTTCCTCCGTTTGATATGAGGACAGGTACAGTGTCCGGTAAACATTGACTCCTGTGTATGTGAAGATAAAATCCTTAAAAATAAGTGAACAATGTAAGGATCCTTCATTCTAGTTTAAAAAAAATCAACTTTGAATAGCTGATAGGCAGGCCACCAGTTTTGGGCAGTTTTCAGGATCATGCATAAAATAATAGCCACTGACATTTTCTTGTTATAGAATTATTCATCCAACCGATAAATCTGATAAAATGTTCAAAGTGTGGTTTTTGTAAATTTATGAAGAACTGTTTGCAAAATATGTTTCAGGATTAAAGATGTTTTTTACCTCGATAACAATCTACAACTCTACAAACAGCCGTTCATGTTAAACATCAATGTAACTGGAGGTTTAAATAAAGACCTTTATTTTCCAAGCTACACTGCACTGTAGATGTATGTCTCTGATAGCCTGAACTTTGTTTGCTGATAGACAGCTGTTACCCATACACACTGAGGGGTTGTATTTCTCCACGAATCCAGCTATTTAAAGACAAGCAAACAAAACAAACAAAATTTAAACGGTAGTCCAAGTGGCCAAAATCTTGTAAAATACCAAAACAACTTTTAAAGTACCAAAATGACATGACAAGTGTTGAAATATCTCTGAGCTAAAATGACAGCGTACCAAAACGTCTGTTCCCCTTTTTCCTTATATTGGGGGGACAATCCATTAACAACTGTTACAATGATACCTTGGGCATCAAAGTCAGGAAAATTAATTAACAGTGTATTTAAGAAGTTGTAGCAATATATAAGCTTTTAAAAGAAGTCTAGATAATTTGTCAAAGGTATGGTGATTATGAAACTGAAAGTAGAACACACTGAACATATGATTTGAGCAGTTGTGTTTTAATTGTATTCAAAAAATCCTATTTTCAACCATGCTTATTCAATATTAAATACAGTTTTCAAAAAAAGTTATAAATTATGTTACCTTATTATACCCGCGCTAGTATCCGTATGTGTTTTGAATGTCTTGCTTTTCATTTTCAAATAAAATGTAAGTATTATTGATTTTTTTTATGTGCACAGTTATATATATTATAGTACACATTCATGCTGCCAATCCTCCAGTTCCATTTGTTTGCAATTTTGATTAAATAATGTCATGTTGACCATATAACAATTGTATTATAATTATGTCATGTTGACCATATAACAGTTGTATTATAATTATGTCATGTTGACCATATAACAATTGTATTATAATTATGTCATGTTGACCATATAACAATTGTATTATAATTATGTTATGTTGACCATATAACAATTGTATTATAATTATGTCATGTTGACCATATAACAGTTGTATTATAATTATGTCATGTTGACCATATAACAATTGTATTATAATTATGTCATGTTGACCATATAACAATTGTATTATAATTATGTTATTTTGATAAAAAGCTTACAAATACAATTCTGTTTCAAATATTTCAGGATGCAGATGTTTTTGAAATCACAGATTTCACAACAGCCTCAGAATGGGAAAGGTAAATTTGCAGATATGATCTATATGCATTTTCTTTCTATCAATTATCTTTTGCAGTAAACATATATTCACTGTAGATGATTAGCTCAACTGGTCAGGACATAAGCATCTTCCAGCTGCCATTAAATTAATTTCTTCAAAAAACTTTTTTAAGAAATGCAGAATGGAATTTCACTGAATTTTGATATCAGACATGCATATTTGGTTTGTCAAATCCTCAGGTTTGGGCTGTAACATTCAATATTGTATATATGGAGGGGCTGCTCCCACTCCTGGACACTTACAGTTGTAGAGTAGTCAGAGGGACATTGAATAACCATATAGTAACCAAATTTTCAATTACTGGGCAAAAGAAATGAACATAATCATGCTATCATAATCGGCTCTGGGGTAGTGGCATCACCCATCAGGACCTAGTCCCCTAACCATAGCAGGGAAACCATTGAGATCCCCATGCTTAATCCATGCATACAATTGCTAGGCATGAAAAGCCTTGTTTCCAAATATGTGCTTTCTCTAAGCATGGCCAGGGTTAGCCTTGGGTTCTAACCCAGCCTTTCAATACATTTTTGATATAACTTTTTATGAAAGATATTTTGCCATAATTACTTAAATGTCCAAATGATCAATACAGGTCCTTTGGGCCTTTTTATGATATCTTTGGTTTTAAGCTCAACTGGCCCAAAGGGCTTATGTCATGGTGCGGCATCCGTCGTCTGTCAACTTTTCCTTTAAACAACCTCTTATGAAGAACGAACAGGCATAGAGCCATGATACTTGAAAGAAAGTTTTGGTGGTAGGAGCCCGATAAAGTTTGAGAACGAAAATGACCTTGACCTACTTTCAAGGTCACAGGGGTCAAATATGTCAAACACTTCAAATGACTTCTTCTGATGAACTGAGAGGTATAAAATCTTTGTATTTGGCTGGTGGCTTTCTGGGATAGAGCGCAACAAAGTTTGAGAATGAAAATGACCTTGACCAACTTTCAATGTTTCATCGGTCAGATATGTCAAACTCTTTCAACGACTTCTTCTGAAGAACTGAAAGGGATAGAATCTTCATATTTGGCTGGTGGCTTTCTGGGATAAAGCCTGACAAAGTTTGAGAATGAGAATGACATTGACTTACTTTCAAGGTCACAGCGGTCAAATATGTCAAACTCTTTAAACGACTTCTTATGAAGAACTAAAAGGTATAGAACCTTCATATTTGGCTCTAGCTTGGCTTCCTGAGATAGAGCCTGACAAAGTTTGTGAATGAAAATGACCTTGACCTACTTTCAAGGTCACAGGTGTCAAATATGTTAAAAACATCCAACGACTTCTTCTGAAAAATCGAAAGGCATAAAATTTTAATATTTGGCTGGTGGCTTCCTGGGATAGAGCTCACCAAAGTTTGCAAATGAAAATGACCTCAACCTACTTTAAAGGTCACAGAGGTCAACAACATTTCAAAGGATTTGTTCTGAAGAACCAAAAGGGATGTATTCATAGGATTTGATTGGTAGCTTCTTGGGATAGAGCTAACAAAGTTAGGAAAATGACTTCTTCTGTAGAACTATGCACTGGATATCAATCATATTTAATCAAAAGCATTCATGGGAGGCAGAGATTCAAAATTGTACAAATGGTGGGGCTGACCTCCCAGGGGGATGAGGGGCGAGGCCAAAACAGGTAATTTGGCTATATTACTTTAAGCGACTTCTTCTCTGGAATTAAGAAATGTATAATAACCATATTTAACTGGAAGCATCCCTAGGTGGTGGGGATTCAAAGTTGTACAAATGGTTGGGCTGACTCCCCAGGGGGCTGAGGGGCGGGGCCAAATAGGGTTATTTGGCTATATTGCTTTAAGCGACTTCTTCTCTGGAACTAAGAAATGGATATCAACCATATTTGACTGGAAGCATCCCTAGGTGGTGGGGATTCAAAATTGTACAAATGGTGGGGCTGACCCCCCAGTGGGCTGAGGGCGGGGCCAAAAGGGGTCATTTGGCTAATTGCTACAAACGACTTCTTCCGTAGAACTATGCACTGGATATCAATCATATTTAATGAAAAGCATTCATGGGATGCAGGGATTCAAAATTGTACAAATGGTGGGGCTGACCCCCCAGTGTGCTGAGGGCGGGGCCAAAAGGGGTAATTTGGCTATATTGCTATAAACGACTTCTTCTGTAGAACTTTGCACTGGATATCAATCATATTTATAATGAAAAGCATTCATGGGATGCAGGGATTCAAAATTGTACAAATGGTGGGGCTGACCCCCCAGTGTGCTGCGGGCGGGGCCAAAAGGGGTAATTTGGCTATATTGCTATAAACGACTTCTTCTGTAGAACTTTGCACTGGATATCAATCATATTTATAATGAAAAGCATTCATGGGATGCAGGGATTCAAAATTGTACAAATGGTGGGGCTGACCCCCCAGTGTGCTGCGGGCGGGGCCAAAAGGGGTAATTTGGCTATATTGCTATAAACGACTTCTTCTGTAGAACTTTGCCATGGATATCAATCATATTTGTTCTGGAGCATTCATGGGAGGCAGGATTGTACAAATGGTGGGGCTGACTCCCTCGGGCTTAGGGTCGGGGCCAAAAAACAAAAATATATTGCTTGGAAATGGTTGAGATTCCCACCATATAACCATATATACAATTCCTGAGTATAAAGAGAAGATTTCACATTTGCTTCCAGGATGGCTCTAGGGTCTGGCCCCACCCTTGGAGACATTGTCCCTGGGACATAACTTTGAAACGGTTGAGATCCCCTCCCCAAAACTATATATTCAAATGCTGGTCATGATATCAGAATAGACCCTGGGGTCTGACCAAACCCCTAGGGACCTAGTTTCTGAGTCACAGCTTGGAAACAGTTGAGATCCCCACCCCATAACCATACATAAAATTGCTGGGCTTGAAAAATGAAAAATCTAATACAGATATGCTACAAGGATTGGCCTGGGGTGTGGCATATTCCATTGATCTCATTTGGAGAATATTTTGCCATGATTGCTTAGATATCCAGGTGAGCGATGCAGGCCCTATGGGCCTCTTGTAGTATAGTCCACTTTCAATATAAGGTTCAATTATGAGATCAATACAAAGTGAGCGATGCAGGCTAATTGGGCCCCTTGCTTGGTAATGTTTATTTCTAGATGAATCAGTTTTGTGTTTCTTTTAATTAAATGCAGTGACTCACCTTCCTCTTTCTCTTTCTTAGATTTGTGGCAAGATTGGAAGAAATTCTTCATGAGTGGAAACTAGTCAGTGTACAATCACGTCATCCTGTCACCAAGGTAATTAGTTAAGTCCCCAAGGTCAGTACAAGTTAGTGTACAGACATGACATCCTGTCACCAAGGTCAGTACTGGTCAGTGTACAGACATGACATCCTGTCACCAAGGTTAGTACTGGTCAGTGTACAACCATTACATCCAGTCACCAAGGTCAGTACTGGTCAGTGTACAGTCATGCCATCCTGTCACCAAGGTCAGTACTGGTCAGTGTACAGCCATGACATCCAGTCACCAAGGTCAGTACTGGTCAGCGTTTTGTATGCTCATTCTGTCCAGTACCAGTACCAGTGTTTGTTCAAATAGATATTCTCTGTGAATGTGGATCTGGAATATGTGTTAGAAAAAAATGAGCATTTTTAATGAAGTTGGTTTTACACAACCTATCCTTTCAGGCTGATCAGAATAATGGAACGTGGATTGAGAGGACAGAGGAGATCTTGTTTGCTGACTTCAAGTTTATAGCTTCTCACCACTATCTAAAACCTGCTGCTTCCTCCCCTGACCAAACACCAGACATGAGACAAAGTCCAGATGAGGAGATCGAGGAGGTAGAGGAAAACGAGGGTAATTCAGTAATCAAATTGTGCTTAGCCATTAGTGGTGTTATTTTTAGTTATAAAGGACATGTGAGCTTATGCCTAGTTATAAAGGACATGTGACCTTATGCCTAGTTATAAAACACATGTGAGCTTATGCCGAGTTATAAAGGACATGTGAGCTTATGCCGAGTTATAAAGGACATGTGAACTTATGCCGAGTTATAAAGGACATGTGAACTTATGCCTAGTTATAAAGGACATGTGAACTTATGCCTAGTTATAAAGGACAAGTGAGCTTATGCCATTGCGCAGCGCCTGTCATCTGTTAGCATTTTGTTTACTTGTCTTTAACAGCCTAGAGGATTTTTATAAAGAGAGGGTGGGGCGGGCTGGGCAGGGAAATCATTTGCATCTTACTACTTCTTAATTATTAGAGGGATATAACCAGATTTGGTCTGGATAATCCTTGGGGAAAGTTCACTCAATTTTGTATGTACAGAGGGTTTAGCCCTCTTTTGGGCAGATGAATAGGGGCCAATATAAAATGATTGAAATATTTAAAAATCTTTCTTGTTCTGTATGAACCAAATTTAGTTTTGAGCATCCTTGGAGAAAGGGGACTGATTTGTATATGAATGGCGTCAATATTAATGTTTCCATTTAAACAACTTCTTCTAAATAACCAAAAAGCATAAGGTGATGATATTAGAATGCTAGAATGAAGATCTATCAATTTTTTTCAAATGAATGACCTTCATCCAAGGTCACATGTGTCAGATACTTAAAAAAAAGAGTCTGATAAATGAACAAAAGTCCTTGGGTGGTGATACTTGGCAATGAGCATGTTGAATGACTATCAAGTCTTTAAAATGAATGACCTTGATGAACCCTAATGGTCACATGGGTCAAATATTTTAAACTTTTAAACGACTTCTTCTAAATAACCAAAAAGCCTAGAGTGATGATATTTGGCCAGTGGCATACTAGAATAAGAAGCAGTCTACATTGTTCAAATGAATACCCTTGACCCAATTTCTAGGACAGATTTAAAGGTGTTAACACTGTTTAATTGACTTCTGAATTTAAAAGAAAGGAGACCAGTCGAAGGTATGATATTTTGGGATGTATGTTAATAGTGTAAATTAATATGATGTGTTTTTATAACCCCCGTCATATTTGACGGGAGTATTATATTATGGTAAGGCGTTGTCCGTCCGTCCGTCAGGCGTAAACTTTCGTTTGTCCGGCAATCTCCTCCTACATTCTTCGACCGATCTCTTTGAAACTTGGTATACATTATAATCTTGATAAGAAGTTATGTCTCCCTTAAAAGGATTTTGATTCAACAGGTTTTTCGAAAAGTTATTGCCCTTTGTTTATTTCAGTATTTGATTTTTGTCCGGCAATCTCCTCCTACATTTTTCAACGGATCTCTTTGAAACTTATTAGGCTAAATAATCATGATATGTTGTTGTGTTTCCTTGAAGAGAATTTTGATTAGACAAGCTTTCCAGAAGTAATTGCCCTTTGTTCATTTCAGTATTTGATTTTTGTCTGGCAATCTCCTCCTACATTTTTCAACGGATCTCTTTGAAACTTATTAGGCTAAATAATCATGATATGTTGTTGTGTTTCCTTGAAGAGAATTTTGATTCGACAAGTTTTCCAGAAGTAATTGCCCTTTGTTCATTTCAGTATTTGATTTTTGTCCGGCAATCTCCTCCTACATTTTTCAACGGATCTCTTGAAACTTGGTATACATTACATTCATGATATGAAATTGTGTCTCCTTTAAAAGAATTTTGATTCAACAATTTTTGCAAAAGTTATTGCCCTTTGTTTATTTCAGTATTTGTTTTTTTGTCTGGCAATCTCCTCCTACATTTTTTGACAGATTTCTATGAAACTTAGTAGACTAAAAAATCATGATATGTTGTTGTGTTTCCTTGAAAAGAATTTTGATTCAACAATTTTTGCAAAAGTTATTGCCCTTTGTTCATTTCAGTATTTGATTTTTTTTTATGCAGAGATATTCTCCTACATTTTTATACCATGTCAGCTAACCGCTCTTTGAATGATGCAGATCATATTTCAATGTACAAGTTTAAGAAAGTATATAACACTTTGTGGCATTTGACGGGCGTATATTGTTCCGCCCCGCGGTACTCTTGTTATAGAATGTGAATGAATGCATATGGCTATGCCATTTAACTTTTAAAGTTCAGATCATTAAAATATGTTTAATCTTTCAGCAAAAATTACGAAGGTTTAGAGTAATAAGATCTTCCAAAAAAGTCCCAAAACTGTTTCATAGATGAAATAATTCTTATAGTCTTTTTGATAAACATGTATCATATCCAGCAGGCTAAAAAAAATCAAATCAAATTCCAGGGCAAGTATCAAGGCCCTCTGGGCCCCTTGTTTACCGGAGGGTGCTTCTACTGTTAATTACACAAGATTGTTTCCAGTAAAATGTTCATCTGATATCTGAATGAAATACCTTGAAGCAGGAATATCTTGGGTTTAGAAAAACATTCTTTTTCTTTGTGTTTGCAGGCATACATCTACTGAAAGGAGGTCACTGTGACCTACATTTTTACCTTTACCTTATAGTATTGAAATTGACCTGGCAAAATACACTGAATGTGGGGTGAGCATTGACACCTTAGCAAGTGTACACTAAGGTTTTATTTTGTTACAGATGTGATACCAACAGTGATGGTAGATATGATGAACACACATTGACACCTTATCAAGTGTACACTAGGGTTTTATTTTGTTACAGATGTGATATCAACAGTGATGATAGATATGATGAACCCACATTGACACCTTAGCAAGTGTACACTAAGTTTTTATTTTTTTACAGATGTGATATCAACAGTGATGATAGATATGATGAACACACATTGACACCTTAGCAAGTGTACACTAGGGTTTTATTTTGTTACAGATTTGACACCAACATTGATGATGGATATGATGAACACACATTGACACCTTAGCAAGTGTACACGAGGGTTTTATTTTGTTACAGATGTGATACTAACATTGATGATGGATATGATGAACACACATTGACACCTTAGCAAGTGTACATTAAGGTTTTATTTTGTTACAGATGTGATACCAACAGTGATGATGGATATGATGAACACAGAGAATGACTTCCCTTCTAAAGCACACTTCCTGTCTAGGTTGTAAGTAAAATTACAACTTCTGGGCTCACTAGTATATTTAAAGCTCACTTAAAGCTTATGACGTGGCGCAGTACTAGTATCCATCTGTCCATCTGAATCAACTTTTCTTTAGAATGCTACTGGTCTGGAATGGCTCTGTGGATTTTGACGTAATTTGGCATGGAGCATCCTTTTAATGGGAAAATTAAAGGGGACTCAATTTATTTAACCGGAGGGTGTGGCCACCAACGGGGCAGAGAGATGAGGCCCATTACGGGAAATGAGGTAACCATTACATCCTTCTTCTGTAAGAATGAATGGAGGGATTTACCAAATTTTGTCTTGAATACTCCTGGACGAAGGGGACCCATTTTTAGCTCACCTGGCACGAAGTACCAAGTGAGCTTATGCCGTGGCATGGTGGCCGACCGTCCGCCGTCCTGCGTCAATATTTTACTTTAAACAACTTCTTCTTAATAACCCTAAGGCCTAGGGTGTCGATATTTGGCCAGAAAGAAACTTGGATGAAGGGCTACAAAGTTTGTTAAAATTAATGACCTTCACCTATTTTCAAGGCCGAAGGGGTCAAATATGTCAAAAACTTTAAACATCTTCTTCTCAATAACCAAAATGCCCAGGGAGATGAAATTTGGCCAGTAGCATGCTGAGATAAAGGACGACAAAGTTTGTTCAAATAAATGACCTTCATCCATAGTCAAGGTCACAGGGGTCAAATATGTTAAAAACTTTAAACAACTTCTTCTGAATAACCAAATTCCCAGGGTGATGATATTTAGTCAGTAGTATACTAGGATGAAGGGCTACCTAGTTTGTTTAAATGTATGCATATATGTTCAAAATATTTCAACAACTTGTTCTGAATAACCAAAAGGCTCAGGATGTTGATATTTAGTCAGTAGCATATGCTGGGATCAAGGACTACTTTGTTTGTTAAAGTGAATGACTTTGACTAATATCCAAGGTCACAGGGGTCAAATTTGTTTAAAATCTTTAAACAGACTCTTTTGAATAACCATGGGTCCCAGGATGTTTATACTTTGCAAGTTGCATCCTGAGATGAAAGGCTATACAATGTGTTCAATATACTGACTTTGTTCAACTTTCAATCACAGGGGTTAAATGTTTAAAAAAAAAAATAACCGGGTCTTTTGAATGAATTTTAATCATAAATACTGATATTTTGCCTGTAGCTTTATTTTAGATCACTTTTAAGGTTACAAGTGTGAGTTTTATGCCAGGTGAGCGATGCAGGCCCATTGGGCCTCTTGTTACAAGTAAAAAGTGTGAGCCTCCTAGGGGCATAAATGATTAAAATACTCCTGCTTCTGTATGAACAAAGGGATTTTTACAAGAATTTGGTGTAAAGCCTCCTAAATGGAGGATGCACCCCCCCCCNTTTACGTGATTCTTTATAATCCTTCTCCTTCTGTACAAACAGGAGGGGTTTTAACCGATGATTGTCTACAGAACAGCCTGTGGTTATTTTGTATTAACAAAGAGTGTGGGGTCCCAGGCCAGAAGCCAGAGGGATGGGGTCCAATATAGGGGGAAATAATAATCAATTGTTTTAAAGGCCTTCTTCTTCCGTATAAATGGAGGGTTTATAACCAAATTTTGTCTAGAACAACCTTAGATAATAGGGACTCATGATCAATTTTGTATAAATGAAAAGTGTGTGATCCCTAGGGGCAGAGGGTTGGGGATCAATATGGGGAACAAAGGGATTAATGTTTAAAAAAAATCTTATTCTGTGTGATTGGAAGCATTTTAACAAAAGTATCCTAGGGTAAAGGCGAGTCAATTTTGTTAAAATGGAGGATGTGATGCCTAGGGCTGTAGCAATACATTAACATGACAGTACCTATCACGATACTGTGGTCACGATATAGTAACAGTAGACTTAAAACAAAAATATATCTGGCAAACTTTTAGTTGCAATATTACAAATGGAAATAAACTTGGCCCAAACATGACTTGAAAGTTTTACACAATTCACGTCTTTCGACGTGCATGTTGAGCTGGACCCGTCACTCTCCGTGTTGGAACGGATATGAGAAGACTAAATTAAAGAACGATAAAATCCTGAAAATATTGTATGTGTACCGTAACCCCCTGAAATAATATTGTGTATTGTACCGTATTCAAGATACAAGTGATATGTCGTTGCACCATATATCATCGCAGCCCTAGCGGGAAAGGAGATGGTGCCTGAAAGGGTCCGTAGGAATGGAGGGATTTAGAGCCATCCTTTAGTTTAAAGGACTCATTTTTGTGTAGATGGTTGGGTATAGTATTACTGACCCATTCAATCACTGCCCGCTACTTTCTGTAATTGGGGATACTTCATGGTCGGGTATAGTGCTACTGACCCATTTAATCACTGCCCACTACTTTCTGTAATTGGGGATACTTCATGGTCGGGTATAGTGTTACTGACCCATTCAATCACCGTCAGCTACTTTCTGTAATTGGGGATACTTCATGGTCGGGTATAGTGTTACTGACCCATTCAATCACTGTCAGCACTGTAATAATCACTTCTTTCTCAACAATTTTTGATCAAAGTTTATACAAAGGTTAAACAAGAGAATATCTTTAATAATTGGGTCAAGGTCAAAGCCAAGCCCATCATTTTGATCAAACTTATACAAAGGTTAAGTAGGAGAATACTTCCAATAAGTTTGTATTTCAGGAACCCAAGGCTCTGTTACTATTTATAGAAATTTGTCAAAGAAACCTCTGAATTGCATGGGAGCAGGGACATTCATGTCCTAGACAATTTCTAGTCTTTGAAAGGTTTCTTCTTGAAAACTAAAAGCCCAATGGACTTTAAATTTGGCCAGTAGATATCTTCAATGGAGTGCCAGTTTATTTTTTTATATAAATGACCTTGACCTCTCTGTATCACTAAATTGCATAATGTTATTGATTTCTGTAAATAGTCGATGCTTATTGTTTCCTTCATTACAGGTATGGTCTACAGGAGTTTGTCGTGATAGCACCCTCCAGTAAGTCCGACGCCATTGATAGTGAGAGTCGAATCAAACTACTCCTCAGTTCTGTGTCTATAGCCCTGAGTAATGCTGGATGGTAAGTCGTGTTTATATCACTGTGAGGAAGCATCAAACACAAAGATATAGAAAATAGGAGTTATGTATACCTAAAAATACAACAAAAAGCATTCAATGTCCTGTTTAGTACATTAAACATGGTTTGCACAGGTCTTGAAAAACCCTTGAATTTGAAGTCTGTCTTGAAAAACCCTTGAATTTGATGTCTGTCTTGAAAACCCTTGAAAATCAATTGGAGTCCTTGAAAACCCCTTAATAATCAGTGAAGTTAGTAGGGTATTGTTTTGTCATGTTAATTCAGTATTTTGTGAACTTTTGTCGCAAACAATATTTTTTTTACACAGATTGATTGTTAAATTGCACATCGTAATTTTTAATAATTTCGGAAAATATATACCGATGAAGTTTCCAGTTTTGCTTTTTCAATTCGTATTATTACTGAATTTGGAATTGAGTAAGTCTCATAATCCTTTCTCCAAAGTGACAGACGGTCATGCGCTTTAAGAGTATTGTTAACAGGAGGGGAACACGAACCGAACAACTGCGATGGGGAAGGGTGTTTGTAACGGTAAATGGCTTGACGATCCCAGATTTTTTTGGGTGATAGGACTTCTGCTTTATGCTCGCTGTGTAACAAAATTATCGATCTGGGCAAGATGGGGGAATACACCCTAACATCACATATGAAAAGTCAAAACAGGTGAAAATTTCGGAGACCGCTTGGGCTCGGCCTTTGACAGACAGAGTTTTATACCAAACCCTCTACTTCAATGGCAAGTACATTGAGACCTTCCTCGACTGTTCCTAATCCAAATCCAAACATGATTCCCGATGACTTTCCTTCAAACCCAGCCCCTCAAGGCCTTGAATTTTCCAAATTTGTCCTGAAAAACCCTTGAAAAGTCCTTAAATTTTGAGGTCAAAAGTTTGTAGGAACCATGTTAAATGTGTACATTTATACCAATTCTGTCTGGTACTAAGGACTTTATTGGTCACTCAGACACATAGGTGTTTAACAAGAGGTCACCTATAATCAGCAGATATACACATGGCAGAACACAATAACACCATTATATGAATAATTTCACATGAATGTATACTTGTCAAATTTGGCGATTTATGTTTACAAATGAATAAATAATGATACTCGTCACAATGAATACCTTCAGAACACAAAAGTCAAATTCTATCACGGCAAAGCATACCAGGCTATCGTCCTATGGGCATATTATCTTTTATTTAATTTCTGTAAATAATCTTTATTACCAATACTCTCTGTGTTTGTATAAATGAGTGTATTAAATCTGTGTTTCAGTCCAGTGCCAGTGTTTGTACAAATCCAGCAATTTTGGCGACAGATGTATTCTGGGATTTGTTTGATGTCGGGGACAACCATCAACTTTGATGTGATACAGTTTCAAAGAGTGCCTCCCCAGTATAACCATTTGGCAGGTCTGCTGGACGTGTTTAAAGCTAAGCTTGTAGGTTATTCCACAAATTATGTGATAGCTTTTTAAACCAATATTTAATATTGATTCTGTGGTGAATTTACTAGGATAAGTTAAACTATAACAGAAGGAATAATTATCATGTATGGTCATGTTACATGTGATTTATTGGTCATACTTATGGTACAATGTTCATACTTGTGGTACAATGGTCATACATGTGGAACAATGGTCATACATGTGATAATGTGATACAATGGTCATACATGTGGTTCAATGGTCATATATGTGGTACAGTGGTCATATATGTGGTACAGTGGTCATACATGTGGTACAATGGTCATACATGTGGTACAGTGGTTATACATGTGGTACAATGGTCATTCATGTGGTACAGTAGTCATGCATGTGGTACAATGGTACAATGATCATACATGTGGTTCATTTGTCATACATGTGGTACAGTGGTCATACATGTGGTACAGTGGTCATACATGTAGTACAATATTCATACATGTGGTTCATTGGTCATACATGTGGTACAGTGGTCATACATGTGGTACAGTGGTCATACATGTGATATAATGGTCACATGTGGTACAGAGGTCATACATGTGGAACAATGGTCATACATGTGGTACAGTGGTCATACATGTGGTACAATGGTCATATATGTGGTACAGTGGTCATACATGTGGTACAATGGTCATACATGTGGTACAATGGTCATACATGTGGTACAATGGTAATATATGTGTTACAGTGGTCATACATGTGGTACAGTGGTTATACATGTGGTACAGTGGTCATACATGTGATAATGTGATACAATGGTCATACATGTGGTACAAGGGTCATACATGTGGTACAGTGGTCATACATGTGGTACAATGGTCATACATGTGGTACAATGGTCATACATGTGGTACAATGGTCATACATGTGGTACAATGGTCATACATGTGGTACAATGGTCATACATGTGGTACAATGGTCATACATGTGGTACAATGGTCATACATGTGGTACAGTGGTCATACATGTGGTACAATGGTCATACATGTGGTACAGTGGTCATACATGTGGTACAGTGGTCATAAATGTGATATAATGGTCACATATGTGGTACAGTGGTCATACATGTGGTACAATATTCATACAAGTGGTACAATGGTCATACATGAGGTACAGTGGTCATACATATGGTACAATGGTCATACATGTGGTACAATGGTCATACATATGGTACAATGGTCATACATGTGGTACAATGGTCATACATGTGGTACAATGGTCATACATGTGGTACAATGGTCATACATGTGGTACAATGGTCATACATGTGGTACAATGGTCATACATGTGGTACAATGGTCATACATGTGGTACAATGGTCATACATGTGGTACAATGGTCATACATGTGGTACAATGGTCATACATGTGGTACAATGGTCATACATGTGGTACAGTGGTCATACATGTGGTACAATGGTCATACATGTGGTACAGTGGTCATACATGTGATAATGTGATACAATGGTCATACATGTGGTACAATGGTCATATATGTGGTACAGTGGTCATACATGTGGTACAATGGTCATACATGTGGTACTGTGGTCATACATGTTGTATAATGGTCATATATGTGGTACAGTTGTCATACATGTGGTACAATGGTCATATATGCGGTACAGTGGTCATTCATGTGATACAATATTCATACAAGTGGTACAATGGTCATACATGAGGTACAGTGGTCATACATGTGGTACAATGGTCATACATGTGGTACAATGATCATACATGTGGTACAATGGTCATATATGTGGTACAGTGGTTATACATGTGGTACAATGGTCATACATGTGATACAATGGTCATACATGTGGTACAATGGTCATACATGTGGTACAATGGTCATACATGTGGTACAATGGTCATACATGTGGTACAATGGTCATACATGTGGTACAATGGTCATACATGTGGTACAATGGTCATACATGTGGTACAATGGTCATACATGTGGTACAATGGTCATACATGTGGTACAATGGTCATACATGTGGTACAATGGTCATACATGTGGTACAATGGTCATACATGTGGTACAATGGTCATACATGTGGTACAGTGGTCATACATGTGGTACAATGGTCATACATGTGGTACAGTGGTCATACATGTGATATAATGGTCACATGTGGTACAGAGGTCATACATGTGGTACAGTGGTCATACATGGGATAATGTGATACAATGGTCATACATGTGGTACAATGGTCATATATGTGGTACAGTGGTCATACATGTGGTACAATGTTCTTACATGTGGTACAATGTTTGTACATATGGTAGAATGTTTTTACGTGTGGGACAATGTTTGTACATATGGTACAATGTTCGTACATATGGTACAATGTTTGTACATATGGTAAAATGTTTTTACATGTGGTACAATGTTTGTACATATGGGACAATGTTTTTACGTGTGGTACAATGTTCGACATGTGGTACAATGTCTGCAACAATGGTCATACTTGTGGTACAGTGGTCATACATGTGATATAATGGTCACATATGTGGTACAGTGGTCATACATGTGGTACAGTGGTCATATATGTGGTACAAAGGTCATACATGTGGTACAATGGTCATACATTTGGTACAAGGGTCAAACATGTGGTACAGTGGTCATACATGTAGTACAATATTCATACATGTGGTACAGTTGTCATACATGTGGTCCAATGGTCATACATGCGGTACAGTGGTCATTCATGTGATACAATATTCATACAAGTGGTACAATGGTCATACATGAGGTACAGTGGTCATACATGTGGTACAGTGGTCATACATGTGGTACAGTGGTCATATATGTGGTACAAAGGTCATACATGTGGTACAATGGTCATATATGTGGTACAGTGGTTATACATGTGGTACAATGGTCATACATGCGGTACAGTGGTCATTCATGTGATACAATATTCATACAAGTGGTACAATGGTCATACATGAGGTACAGTGGTCTTACATGTTGTACAATGGTCATACATGTGGTACAATGGTGGTCATATATGTGGTACAGTGGTCATACATGTGGTAGAATGGTCATACATGTGGTACAGTGGTCATATATGTGGTACAAAGGTCATACATGTGGTACAATGGTCATACTTGTGATACAATGGTCACACATGAGGTACAAGGGTCATACATGTGGTACAGTGGTCATACATGTGATAATGTGATACAATGGTCATACATGTGGTACAATGATCATACTTAAGGTACAATGGTCATACATGTGGTACAAATGTCATACTTAAGGTACAATGTTCATACATGTTATACAGTGGTCATACATGTGGTACAATGGTCATATATGTGGTACAGTGGTCATACATGTGGTACAATGTTCTTACATGTGGTACAATGTTTGTACATATGGTACAATGTTTGTACATGTGGTACAATGTTTTTACATGTGGTACAATGTTCGACATGTGGTACAATGTTTGCACATGTGGTACAATTGTAGCGGAACTAGACTCGGTCGATCGTCAGCGACCAGATAGCTTAATTGGTAGAGCATCGTCTAGATTTCTGAGGGTCCCGGGTTCGAACCAAGGTCTGGCCCTACATTTGTTTTTGTTTTTATAATTATATTTTAAGTTTTACAAAATATTTAACAATTGTAGTAATTTTCACACTCACTTGTTCATTCTTGTTCCGTTATATCTTGCATAGACCAGAATAGACTGTATATGTATTTCTAATTTTCCATATCTAATTGTGTAAATGTCTAATTTATTTTTTAAGTCAGTACATTGATTTTTATCCTCCGCTTTCACCGGGAAATTGTTTTGGGTTTGTCCGTCTGTTTGTCTGTCTGTCGTGTCGGTCTGTCTGCCAAGTTCAATGACCACTTTTAGCTGAAACTATTTGGCGTAATTATCTGCCGCAAAATAACTACAACAAATGTTAACTGATCTTCAACCTTGGTCACAGGGTAAAATGCCATAAAGGCTCAGCCAAGTGCGATGACCACTTTCAGCTGACCCCATTTGGCGGAGTTATGGCCCCTTGAATAACGAAAAACGTAATTATCTGCTGCATTTCGTTTATGTGCAATAACTACAACAAATGTAAACTGATTTTTTTCAAACTTGGTCACAGGGTTAAATGCCATAAGGATTCAGCCAAGTTCGATGACCACTTTCAGCGGACCCTATTTGGCAGAGTTATGGCCCCTTGAATCACGAAAAACAACATTATCTGCTGTTTCTGTTCATTAACTCTCGCAAATATTATTCGCTTGTCTTCAAACTTAGTAATAGGGTTCAAAGCATTAAGGGCTTGACCAAAATTGACAATTACTTTAATCAAACTCCAATTGGCAGAGTTATGTCCCCTTGATTAAGGGGAAACATTATTATCTGCAGTTTCCGCTTTATAAATCTGGCAAATATTAGCCAAATTCCATCAAACTTGATAACATTGTTTGTGTTTCTCTGTCTTTCCACCCATCTCGGGCACTCTTTGGTTTTCATGTGATTATTGCTGAGATATTGTTAAGATGTTTCAACCAAATTCCGTATGCACATCCGACTCATGCTAAGTTTGACAACCGATGTGATTTGTGGATATTTAGGGATTATCAATGAGGTATAGCTTTTTTTTCTTCAAGTTTCAGGCTATATATTATGTCTCAGAACCTCAATAATGTTAATTATAACCTATGTCCTGCAAGTGGGGGATATAAACTCCACAAATTTGTTTGTTAGCTCACCTGGTGAGATTATGCCATGGCGCAGCGTCCGTTATCATCGTCAACTTTTTCTTTAAAACCTCCTAAATGCCAGAGAGGATTTCAACCAAATTTAGTCTGAAGCATCACTAGGGGAGGGCAATCAATTCTTAAATAAATAAGGTTGGTTCGACCCCTGTGGCCAGGGGGGTGGGGCCCTGAAGGGGAACTTAGCTAAATTTGCTTTAAAACGCATCTCCTGTTTAACGCCAGAGAGGATTTCAACCAAATTTAGTCGGAAGCATCACTAGGGGAGGGCAATCATTTCTTAAAAAAATGAGGTTGGTTTGCCCCCTGAGGCCAGGGGAGGGGCCCTGAAGGGGACCTTAGCTAAATTTGCTTTAAAAAGTATCTCCTTCTTAACGTTAGAAAAGATTTCAACCAAATTTGCTCTGAAACTTCATTGGGGAAGGGCAATTATTTCCTAAATAAATGAGACTGGTTCGACTCCTGGGGCTAGGAAGACCGGGTCCCAAAGAGGAAAATTATTTAATATTTTGCTTTAAGATGCTTATACCCCCTAATTGCCTGAGTGGATTGTACAAAATTTCGTCAAAAACATTATTGAGGAAGAACAATTCTTAATTGAATGAGGTTGATGTGACCCCTGTGGTCCTAAGAAATGGTACAGCTAGATTATCATATTCTATGGTGTAGTTTTCATAAATTGTTGAAAATTGGTTTCTAGATTTATAAAAGCATATAGTTGAATTTTAATAGAAAATTAAAGTATTGTCTAATTACACCCTGTAATATGACATATTACTTATTTCAAAATCTGTTAACATGGCAACTCAATGGAGGCCGCTGATTAGTTGAAAGTCAGATATTGTGGTCCCAGTTGGGTTAGAACATAGATCTTGTCTGGATTTGAGGAAATTTCATATAAAGATGTACTAATGCATTCAATTGTAATGATTTAAATATAAAACCAGGTGAGTGATACCTCTTGTTTTTATAGAAGTTGCAATATAAAGTTTGTCTTTAAATATCTGGAAAAAACCCCAGAAAAACGGCCTGTGTTCAAATTTTCAAGGAAATGGGACGCACACATACATTCCCTCCTGGTCTTAGTTTACAGTCAAGGCATGATAATTTTTTTTTTAGTTTTGAGGTCTTTGGGGATCTTTCATATAAATATGTGTAAAAGACCTTAAGGTCAAAGGTCAAATAAGTGCAAAGTTTACAGGAATATCTTGTTTGGGCTGTTACTTTTAAACCGTGAAAGGGGAGACATATGTTTCTGTTCACAAAAACAAATCTCTAGTTACATTATATCACCATCAGTATATGTTCCAGTGGTATGAAGGTGAGCTTATAATTATGCCATACCCCGTCGTCTGTCGTCCGTATGTCAACAACTTCTTTAAACAACTTCCTCTTTTTAACCACTGATTTGAATTTAACTAAATTTGACTGGAAGCATCCTTAGGTGTTGGGGATTCAAAGTTGTTCAAATGGTAGGGCTGACCCCCCAGGGGGCTGAGGGGCGGGGCCAAAAAGGTTTTATGGCTATATTGCTTTAAGCAACTTCTTTTCTTGAACTAAGAGATGGATATCAACCATATTTGACTGAAAGCATCCCTAGGCATTGGGTATTCAAAATTGTACAAATGGTGGAGCTGACCCCCCAGGGAGTTGAGGGACGGGGCCAAAAGGGGTCAATTTGGCTATATTGCTATAAACGGCTTCTTCTGTAGAACCCGGACATGGATATTGACCATAATTGGTTGGAAGCATTCATGGGAGGGAGGGATTTAAAATTGTACAAATTTTGTTGCTGACCTCCCGGGCTAAGAGGTGGGGCCAAAACAAGTTTATTACTTGGAAATGGTTGAGATCCCCACCGTATAACCATATATACAATTGCTGAGTATGAAGAGAAGAATGCACAGTTGCTTCCAGGATGGCTCTAGGGTCTTGCCCCACCCTTGGAAATATAGTCCCTTGGTCATAACTTTAAAATGGTTGAGATCCCCTCCCCGAAACTATATATACAAATGCTGGGCATAAAGAGACAAATGCAGTCATGATATTAGAATTGATCCTGGGGATGGCCACAACCTATGGACCTAGTTTCTGAGTCGCAGCTTGGAAACAGTTATGATTCCCACCCCATAACCATATATAAAATTGCTGGGCATGGAAAATTAAATACAGATATGCTACAAGGATTGGCCTTGGGGTCTGGCCTATTCCATTGGATCTCATTTGGAGAATATTTTGCCATGATTGCTTAGATATCCAGGTGAGCAATACAAGCCCTCTGGGCCTCTTGTTTTATTGATGTCATGCTTATATTCTTATTGTAGGCAACACAAGTAACCCCAAGGCCAAAGGTCACTGTAGCAGTGAGATTTACCTACTTCCTCCAGGAATGGGTCAATTCCCCTTGGCCACAAGAACCACCTGGTAACTATTAATTTTAGGAACATATTCAGGAGTAAAGTTTTCATAATCTTATTGAATCTAGTTTTCTTCATTTCTTTTTGTGTTTTCTTATGTAGGTCTCCCTTGATCTTCCCCTCATTTCTTATGTAGGTCTCCTTTGATCTTCCCTACATTTCTTGTGTAGGTCTCCCTTGATCTTCCCCTCATTTCTTATGTAGGTCCCCCTTGATCTTCCCCTTATTTCTTATGCAAGTCTCCCTTGATCTTCCCCTCATTTCTTATGTAAGTCTCAATTGATCTTCCCTTTATTTCTTATGTAGATCTCCCTTGATCTTCCCCTAATTTCTTATGCAAGTCTCCCTTGATCTTCCCCTCATTTCTTATGTAAGTCTCAATTGATCTTCCCTTTATTTCTTATGAAGATCTCCCTTGATCTTCCCCTCATTTCTTATGTAGGTCTCCCTTGATCTTCCCCTCATTTCTTATGTAAGTCTCCCTTGATCTTCCCGTCATTTCTTATGTAGGTCCCCCTTGATCTTCCCCTTATTTCTTATGCAAGTCTCCCTTGATCTTCCCCTCATTTCTTATGTAAGTCTCAATTGATCTTCCCCTCATTTCTTATGTAGGTCCCCCTTGATCTTCCCTTTATTTCTTATGTAGATCTCCCTTGATCTTCCCCTCATTTCTTATGTAGGTCTCCCTTGATCTTCCCCTCATTTCTTATGAAGATCTCCCTTGATCTTCCCCTCATTTCTTATGTAAGTCTCATTTGATATTCCCTTTATTTCTTATGTAAGTCTCCCTTGATTATCACATTTACTGTGTTCATGACTCAATCCAACACGAAAGTAACATCAAGGTACATTTACTGTTAACATGACTCAATCCAACACAAAAGTTACCTCAAGGTACATTTACTGTTAACATGACTCAATCTAACACAAAAGTTACTTCAAGGTACATTTACTGTTCTTATGACTCAATCTAACACAAAAGTTACCTCAAGGTACATTTACTATCTTCATGACTCAATCCAACACAAAAGTAACATCAAGGTACATTTACTGTTCTCATGACTCAATCTAACACAAAAAATACCTCAAGGTACATTTACTGTTCTCATGACTCAGTCTAACACAAAAGTTACTTCAAGGTACATTTACTGTTCTCATGACTTAATCTAACATAAAAGTAACATCAAGGTACATTTACTGTTCTCATGACTCAATCCGTGTGTTAGATTGAGTCATGTTAACAGTCAATGTTCCTTGAGGTAACTTTTATGTTAGATTGAGTCATGTTAACAGTTAATGTACCTTGATGTTACTTTCGTGTTGGATTGAGTCATGAACACAGTAAATGTGATAATCAAGGGAGACTTACATAAGAAATAAAGGGGAGATCAAATGAGACTTACATAAGAAATGAGGGATGTACCTTGAGGTAACTTTTGGGTTGGATTGAGACATGAGAACAGTTACTGTACCTTGATGTTACTTTTGTGTTAGATTGAGTCATGTTAACAGTTAATGTACCTTGATGTTACTTTCGTGTTGGATTGAGTCATCAACACAGTAAATGTGATAATCAAGGGAGACTTACATAAGAAATAAAGGGGAGATCAAATGAGACTTACATAAGAAATGAGGGATGTACCTTGAGGTAACTTTTGTGTTAGACTGAGTCATGAGAACCGTCAATGTACCTTGAGGTATTTTTTGTGTTAGTTTGAGTCATGAGAACAGTAAATGTGCCTTGAGGTAACTTTTGTGTTGGATTGAGGCATGAGAACAGTAAATGTACCTGGAAGTATTTTTTGGGTTAGATTGAGTCATGAGAACAGTAAATGTACCTGGAAGTATTTTTTGTGTTAGATTTAGTCATGAGAACAGTAAATGTCCCTTGATCTTCCCCTCATTTCTTATGTCGGTCCCCCTTGATCTTCCCTTTATTTCTTATGTAGATCTCCCTTGATCTTCCCCTCATTTCTTATGTCGGTCCCCCTTGATCTTCCCTTTATTTCTTATGTAGATCTCCCTTGATCTTCCCCTCATTTCTTATGAAGATCTCCCTTGATCTTCCCCTCATTTCTTATGAAGATCTCCCTTGATCTTCCCCTCATTTCTTATGTAGGTCTCCCTTGATCTTCCCCTCATTTCTTATGAAGATCTCCCTTGATCTTCCCCTCATTTCTTATGAAGATCTCCCTTGATCTTCCCCTCATTTCTTATGAAGATCTCCCTTGATCTTCCCCTCATTTCTTATGTCGGTCCCCCTTGATCTTCCCTTTATTTCTTATGTAGATCTCCCTTGATCTTCCCCTCATTTCTTATGAAGATCTCCCTTGATCTTCCCCTCATTTCTTATGTCGGTCCCCCTTGATCTTCCCTTTATTTCTTATGTAGATCTCCCTTGATCTTCCCCTCATTTCTTATGTAAGTCTCATTTGATCTCCCCTTTATTTCTTATGTAAGTCTCCCTTGATTATCACATTTACTGTGTTGATGACTCAATCCAACACGAAAGTAACATCAAGGTACATTAACTGTTAACATGACTAAATCTAACACACAAGTTACCTCAAGGTACATTTACTGTTCCCATGACTCAGTCTAACACAAAAGTTACTTCAAGGTACATTTCCTGTTCTCATGACTCAATCTAACACAAAAGTTAACTCAAGGTACATTTACTGTTCCCATGACTCAGTCTAACACAAAAAATACTTCAAGGTACATTTACTGCTCTCATGACTTAATCTAACATAAACGTAACATCAAGGTACATTTACTGTTAACATGAATCAATCCAACACAAAAGTTACCTCAATGTACATTTACTGTTAACATGAATCAATCCAACACAAAAGTTACCTCAATGTACATTTACTGTTAACATGACTTAATCTAACACAAAAGTTACCTCATGGTACATTTACTGTTAACATGAATCAATCCAACACAAAAGTTACCTCAATGTACATTTACTGTTAACATGACTTAATCTAACACAAAAGTTACCTCAAGGTACATTTACTGTTCTCATTATTCAATCTAACACAAAAGTTACCTCATGGTACATTTACTGTTAACATGACTCCATCTAACACAAAAGTTACCTCAAGGTACATTTACTGTTCTCATGCCTCAATCCAACACAAAAGTAACATCAAGGTACATTTACTATTTTCATGTCTCAATCCAACACAAAAGTTACCTCAAGGTACATTTACTGTTAACATGTCTCAATCTAACACAAAAGTAACATCAAGGTACATTTACTGTTCTCATGACTCAATCTAACACAAAAAATACTTCCAGGTACATTTACTGTTCTCATGCCTCAATCCAACACAAAAGTTACCTCAAGGTACATTTACTGTTAACATGTCTCAATCTAACACAAAAGTAACCTCAAGGTACATTTACTGTTCTCATGACTCAATCCAACAGATAAGAGAAATTGAGAGAGAAGATGTATCTCCTGAAAACCTATTAAGATAATATGATGTTGGGCACTAAGATACTTCACAGATCTTTTGTCTTATGATTCAACACTTGACTTGAATAAACTTTAACATTTAGAAGTTGAATCATTCAACAACTCAGATTAGTGGGTTTCTTATGTAATAAGTGTTGATATTTATTGGGTTGGGTCTGTAAATCAAAAGCCCCAAACAGATTTTAAAATGACAACTATTCAAATACATTGATTTGTGTGTTTATTGTGATGTCAAACCAAACTGTTTGTAATCCCTTCCTTTATTCTACTTTTAAACTGAGTTGTCTCCTTTCCACTAGTGGGCGACTGTAGTGGAAGTGGTATGTAAGAATTTCCTTTCTCTTGCAATTATGCTGCATGCTGCAATTGCACCAGCAGTACTAGTTAACAAAATTCAGGATGGTGTGTTAACCTGCAGTACTAGTTAACAAAGTTCAGGACAGTGGGTTTACCTGCAGTACTAGTTAACAAAGTTCAGGATGGTGTGTGAACCTGCAGTACTAGTTAACAAAGTTCAGGATGGTGTGTTAACCTGCAGTACTAGTTAACAGAGTTCAGGACTGTGTGTCAACCTGCAGTACTAGTTAACAAAGTTCAGGATGGTGTGTTTACCTGCAGTACTAGTTAACAAAGTTTAGGATGGTGTGTTAACCTGCAGTACTAGTTAACAAAGTTCAGGACAGTGTGTTTACCTGCAGTACTAGTTAACAAAGTTCAGGATGGTGTGTTAACCTGCAGTACTAGTAAACAGAGTTCAGGATGGTGTGTTAACCTGCAGTACTAGTTAACAAAGTTTAGGATGGTGTGTTAACCTGCAGTACTAGTTGACAAAGCTCAGGATGGTGTGTTAACCTGCAGTACTAGTTAACAAAGTTTAGGATGGGGTGTTAACCTGCAGTACTAGTAAACAGAGTTCAGGATGGTGCGTTAACCTGCAGTACTAGTTAACAAAGTTCAGGTTGGTGTGTTAACCTGCAGTACTAGGTAACAAAGTTTAGGATGGTGTGTTAACCTGCACTACTAGTTAACAAAGTTCAGGACAGTGTGTTTACCTGCAGTACTAGTTAACAAAGTTCAGGTTGGTGTGTTAACCTGCAGTACTGGTTAACAAAGTTCAGGATGGTGTGTTTACCTGCAGTACTAGTTAACAAAGTTCAGGATGGTGTGTTAACCTGCACGGTTAGGAGTTTCTGCTTAAACTTTACACAGTTGACTTTAAATCCACACACTGTCAGAATCCATGGTGTCCTTTATAATAATTGTCACAAATGCTCAGGTATAAGCTGTCGGAATATGAAAAGTTAAGATTAATTAAAAGCTCATTGATATTGGATAGAACTATCAAAATGAAAAGTGCTTAATTTCATGGTCAAATTTCGGGCAGTTTTTACTCATAAAAACCTAACCATCTCTGTTCTGTCGGTGTGGAAACAAAACGCTTTTGGTTTTATATGTAGTATTTTACGCTCTGAATGATAAAGAGATAACTTTGTTGAAATTGATTGAAATACTCTTGTTCTGTGTCTTGAAGCTATTTCATTTGTAATTAAAAAAACAAAAACATTTGATTGCAATTGTCTGTGCAAGAAGACCAAAAATAGCTTTTTTATTCATGCCATTAAATTCTGCTCTTTTTGCACTTAATCAACAGGCTTCTTTTTTGCAGTCAATTTGTATTGTTTTGTAATTAATGTGTTTGATATTGTTAGTGATTGCTTGTTGTCTTTTGTATCTGCTAATTGATGAGTTGCTTTTAAGGGGTTCTCATTGTATTATAATAGGCCAAATGTCAGCAATTTTTTTTCATTGCAAAATGTGATATACCATAGTAAACATTACCTTGAGTAAAATATACTTTTTGATCCCAGTTTTTAGCTCACCTGCCCGAAGGACAAGTGAGCTTATGCCATGACGCAGCGTCCATCCCACTGTCAACTTTTCCTAAAAATCGCTACTAGTCATAGTATAAATGGTGGGTCTGGCCCCCCCCCCCCTGGGGGCTGACCCCAAAAGGGGAAATATAGCAAATTCTTTAAAATCCTTTTTCTTCTGTAGGAATGAAACGATTTGTTCCATATTTGGTTTGAGGAATCCTTGGGTTAATAAGCCTGTAGATCTTGTCTGTCTATAGTTTAGGAGCCTGTAGAGCTTGTCTGTCTATAGTTTAAGAGCCTGTAGGTCTTGTCTGTCTATAGTTTAGGAGCCTGTTTATATTGTCTGTCTATAGTTTAGGAGCCTGTATATATTGTCTGTCTATAGTTTAGGAGCCTGTATATGTAGATCTTGTTTGTCTTTAGTTTAGGAGCCTGTAGATCTTGTCTGTCTATATTTTAGGAGCCTGTAGATCTTGTCTGTCTAAGGTTTAGGAGCCTGTTTATATTGTTTGTCTATAGTTTAGGAGCCTGTATATGTAGATCTTGTTTGTCTTTAGTTTAGGAGCCTGTAGATCTTGTCTGTCTACGGCTTAGGAGCCTGTAGATCTTGTCTGTCTACGGCTTAGGAGCCTGTAGATCTTGTCTGTCTACGGCTTAGGAGCCTGTAGATCTTGTCTGTCTATGGTTTAGGAGCCTGTAGATCTTGTCTGTCTACGGCTTAGGAGCCTGTAGATCTTGTCTGTCTATAGTTTAAGAGCCTGTAGATCTTGTCTGTCTAAGGTTTAGGAGCCTGTTTATATTGTCTGTCTATAGTTTAGGAGCCTGTATATGTAGATCTTGTCTGTCTATAGTTTATAGGAGCCTGTAGATCTTGTCTGTCTATAGTTTAGGAGCCTGTCGATCTTGTCTGTCTACGGTTTAGGAGCCTGGATATGTAGATTTTGTCTGTCTATAGTTTATAGGAGCCTGTAGATCTTGTATGTCTATAGTTTAGGAGCCTGTAGATCTTGTCTGTCTATAGTTTAGGAGCCTGTATATATTGTCTGTCTATAGTTTAGGAGCCTGTAGATCTTGTCTGTCTATAGGTTGGGATCTTGTCCATATATTTCCTACATATGTCACTTTTATATCATCAATTTTCCTTGAGTGTGTTAGGAGACGTCTGCTTCTGGCCATGGATTGACATCTACTGTGAGAGAGCTAGGAGAGTGTTGTCTGTTTATTTTTATGTTTATACTACTCGTTTTGTGGTTTTCATGTATCAGTAAGGTTATATGCATAATTCTATGGTGATTCAGTTTGTGAAATTAACAAAACCCCTGTTTGACGGTTCTGGATGTGTATTGAGATTATTCACCGCTCCACATCCAAGTACTTGTTGTGTTGATCATTATTGAAGCTAAACACTTTTTAAAGGATGTCACCTGTTACTAAAAAAACTACTTCATAATGTACAGGGCTGACATGTCTGTTTTAGTTTTAGCCTAGTTATGCTGCTTTATCATACTTATTGTCTGGAGTGTTTGTACTTACCTTTAACTTCAGCTAACATGAGTTTTATTGAAACAACTGTTCTTCTCATTTTCTGTCACTTTTCTTTGGACTTTAGCTATATCACTGATTTTTGATGATGTAGGCAGTTGTGCATGAGGAATATAGTGTGTCCATGGTCTTGTGTTTGCTGATCAGTTTATAGTTTGAGACATGCATTATATATTATTATTGCATACTAATTACTAATCTTATCTGTTGATTAATCTTAAAGATTGATTATTGTGCCCAGGATAGCAATGGGTAGCACAGGGGTCACAAGGGAAATGTATTGTTTTGCTGTACAGTTATATTGCATATCATTAAGAGTTAATGACTTTCAGGGTCATTATATTTGACATTTAGGTAATTACACATCGTTGTTATTTGACATTTAGGTAATTACACATCGCTGTTATTTGACATTTTGGTAATTACACATTGTTGTTATTTGACATTTAGGTAATTACACATCGTTATTTGACATTTAGGTAATTACACATCGTTATTTGACATTTAGGTAATTACACATTGTTGTTATTTGACATTTAGGTAATTACACATCTTTGTTATTTGACATTTAGGTAATTACACATCGTTGTTATTTGACATTGAGGTAATTACACATCGTTGTTATTTGACATTTAGGTAATTACACATCGTTGTTATTTGGAAATGTACATATATAGTCTGTATTTCATAATGTTTTATTAACAAATATAGCATTTATGTAGAGATTGTCAAAGATATTTCAAGAATTAATTAATTTAAATGAATAAATTGATCATGAATTCGGTTTTAAATTGGGGTTATGTATTATGTGAGAGAGGTCATACCTTGGAGTGAATTAAGGTCATCTTTGGGTATGTAACATATATTTTTCATATGTCAACCAAAAGCATAATATTGAATCATCCTACTGAAATCTTTAAATCTTTGGTGACTTGTGTGAAGTGAGAATAGCATAAAGATTCCTATATCATAAAATGGGAATGTTGTGTTAAATTTTACTGTAATTAAACCTTTTAACACAATTTGAAAAAATGTAAATAAGAAAGATAATCCCATAGTGACATATTTGTGAATCAGCTAAGGATCCCCCTGCAACTGCCAAAAACTGTAAATACATGAATATATGTATGAGAAACTTTCTCTGACATTGTTATAGCTCTGATATATCAATTATGAAAAGAAATCCATACTTTAGAAACTTTTATAAAACAAGAGGTCCAGTGGGCCTGAATCGCTCACCTGGTATTAATCTTTGTAATCTTAAAAGTGGACTAAAATACAGCTACATGCAAAATACCAGTGTTTGATTCAAAAGAATATATCAAAGGATTTAAACATGTGACACATGTGACCTTGAAAGTCAAACAAGGACATTAAGTTGAACAGACTTTATAACCAAGAAACATAGGATGATGATATTTGGCAAGTAACATGCTGGGATGAAGGGCTTCCAAGTTTGTTCAAATTAATGACCTTGACATATATTCAAGGTCACAGGGATTAAATAGTTTGTTCAAATGCACTACCTTCACCCATTTGCAAGTTCACAAGGGTCAAATTTAGTCAAATCTTTAAACAACTTCTGAATAATCTAAAGGCCCAGGGTAAGAATATTCTGCCAGTGACATACTGGGATGAAGGGCTTCCTAGGGCTGTTTAAATGATGACTTAGAATGACATTCAAGGTCAAAATGCGCTTTTTAGACTCCCGTTATACACATATTGCATACCAATATAAGTTTATGTGCATTTTTGGTGGAGTTATGCCCTAAATTCCTCATTAACTTTTATCTTTCAAAGTGACCTTGATTAAGGTGGGTGAAGGCACCTGGTGAAGATAACGCTACATATGTTCTCAAATGTTCTCAGACAGGGTGCTACTGACACAGACATATCACAGGTCTCCAGACAGAGTGTGACTGACACACAGATATAGTACAGGTCTCCAGACAGTGTGTGACTGACACAAAGATATAGTACAGGTCTCCAGACAGTGTGTGACTGACACACAGATATAGTGCAGATCTACAGACAGTGTATGACTGACACACATATATATAGTACAGGTCTCCAGACAGTGTGTGACTGACACACAGATATAGTACAGGTCTCCAGACAGTGTGTGACTGACACACAGATATAGTACAGGTCTCCAGACAGTGTGTGATTGACACACAGATATAGTACAGGTCTCCAGACAGTGTGTGACTGACACACAGATATAGTACAGGTCTCCAGACAGTGTGTGACTGACACACAGATATAGTACAGGTCTCCAGACAGTGTGTGACTGACACACAGATATAGTACAGGTCTCCAGACAGTGTGTGACTGACACACAGATATAGTACAGGTCTCCAGACAGTGTGTGACTGACACACAGATATAGTACAGGTCTCCAGACAGTGTGTGACTGACACACAGATATAGTACAGGTCTCCAGACAGTGTGTGACTGACACACAGATATAGTACAGGTCTCCAGACAGTGTGTGACTGACACACAGATATAGTACAGGTCTCCAGACAGTGTGTGACTGACACACAGATATAGTACAGGTCTCCAGACAGTGTGTGACTGACACACAGATATAGTACAGGTCTCCAGACAGTGTGTGACTGACACACAGATATAGTACAGGTCTCCAGACAGTGTGTGACTGACACACAGATATAGTACAGGTCTCCAGACAGTGTGTGACTGACACACAGATATAGTACAGGTCTCCAGACAGTGTGTGACTGACACACAGATATAGTACAGGTCTCCAGACAGTGTGTGACTGACACACAGATATAGTACAGGTCTCCAGACAGTGTGTGACTGACACACAGATATAGTACAGGTCTCCAGACAGTGTGTGACTGACACACAGATATAGTACAGGTCTCCAGACAGTGTGTGACTGACACACAGATATAGTACAGGTCTCCAGACAGTGTGTGACTGACACACAGATATAGTACAGGTCTCCAGACAGTGTGTGACTGACACACAGATATAGTACAGGTCTCCAGACAGTGTGTGACTGACACACAGATATAGTACAGGTCTCCAGACAGTGTGTGACTGACACACAGATATAGTACAGGTCTCCAGACAGTGTGTGACTGACACACAGATATAGTACAGGTCTCCAGACAGTGTGTGACTGACACACAGATATAGTACAGGTCTCCAGACAGTGTGTGACTGACACACAGATATAGTACAGGTCTCCAGACAGTGTGTGACTGACACACAGATATAGTACAGGTCTCCAGACAGTGTGTGACTGACACACAGATATAGTACAGGTCTCCAGACAGTGTGTGACTGACACACAGATATAGTACAGGTCTCCAGACAGTGTGTGACTGACACACAGATATAGTACAGGTCTCCAGACAGTGTGTGATTGACACACAGATATAGTACAGGTCTCCAGACAGTGTGTGACTGACACACAGATATAGTACAGGTCTCCAGACAGTGTGTGACTGACACACAGATATAGTACAGGTCTCCAGACAGTGTGTGACTGACACACAGATATAGTACAGGTCTCCAGACAGTGTGTGACTGACACACAGATATAGTACAGGTCTCCAGACAGTGTGTGACTGACACACAGATATAGTACAGGTCTCCAGACAGTGTGTGACTGACACACAGATATAGTACAGGTCTCCAGACAGTGTGTGACTGACACACAGATATAGTACAGGTCTCCAGACAGTGTGTGACTGACACACAGATATAGTACAGGTCTCCAGACAGTGTGTGACTGACACACAGATATAGTACAGGTCTCCAGACAGTGTGTGACTGACACACAGATATAGTACAGGTCTCCAGACAGTGTGTGACTGACACACAGATATAGTACAGGTCTCCAGACAGTGTGTGACTGACACACAGATATAGTACAGGTCTCCAGACAGTGTGTGACTGACACACAGATATAGTACAGGTCTCCAGACAGTGTGTGACTGACACACAGATATAGTACAGGTCTCCAGACAGTGTGTGACTGACACACAGATATAGTACAGGTCTCCAGACAGTGTGTGACTGACACACAGATATAGTACCGGTCTCCAGACAGTGTGTGACTGACACACAGATATAGTACCGGTCTCCAGACAGTGTATGATTGACACACAGATATAGTACAGGTCTACAGACAGTGTGTGACTGACACACAGATATAGTACCGGTCTCCAGACAGTGTGTGACTGACACACAGATATATAGTACAGGTTTCCAGACAGAGTGTGACTGACACACAGACATATCACAGGTCTCCAGACAGTGTGTGACTGACACACAGATATAGTACAGGTCTTCAGACAGTGTATGACTGACACACAGATATAGTACAAATATACTGATACACTGATATAAGGATTTATCTGAACCATAGTTTTAAGATTTTATGCTTTTAAACCAAAATGCAAATTAATGCTGTTTTAATATGGTACATTCTGCCTACTGTAATTGTGTCCTTAGATTTGTCTTCTCTGATGGAGGATGAGATTGGGTGTACGTCATTCAGTACTCTGCCATTTGGAGCAAGTGAAGATCCAGTGAGGTAAGTTATAAACTTACTTAGCAAATGAGGATCTTAATTGTGAGATATTAAGGTGTAAACTAACGCAGCAAGTGAATATCAAGTGAGGTTAGTTGTAAACTTACTCATTAATTGAATATCAATTGAGGTTAGTTGTGAAATTACTCCACAAGTGAATATCAAGTTTGGTTAGTTGTAAACTTACTCAGCGAGTGAAGATCTAGTGAGGTTAGTTGTAAACTTACTAAGCAGTAAATATCAAGTGAGGTTAGTTGTAAACTCACTCCCTAAGTGAAGTTCTAGTGAGGTTAATTGTAAACTTACTCAGCCAGTACATATCAAGTGAGGTTAGTAGTAAACTTACTCAGTAAGTGAAGATCTAGTGAGGTTAGTTGTAAACTTACTAAGCAGTAAATATCAAGTGAGGTTAGTTGTAAACTCACTCCCTAAGTGAAGTTCTAGTGAGGTTAATTGTAAACTTACTCAGCCAGTACATATCAAGTGAGGTTAGTAGTAAACTTACTCAGTAAGTGAAGATCTAGTGAGGTTAGTTGTAAACTTACTAAGCAGTAAATATCAAGTGAGGTTAGTTGTAAACTCGCTCACTAAGTGAAGTTCTAGTGAGGTTAATTGTAAACTTACTCAGCCAGTACATATCAAGTGAGGTTAGTAGTAAACTTACTCAGTAAGTGAAGATCTAGTGAGGTTAGTTGTAAACTTACTCAGCAAGTGAAGATCTAGTGAGGTTAGTTGTAAACTTACTCATCAAGTGAAGATCTAGTGAGGTTAGTTGTAAACTTACTCAGCCAGTAAATATCAAGTGAGGTTAGTTGTAAACTCACTCACTAAGTGAAGTTCTAGTGAGGTTAATTGTAAACTTACTCAGCCAGTACATATCAAGTGAGGTTAGTAGTAAACTTACTCAGTAAGTGAAGATCTAGTGAGGTTAGTTGTAAACTTACTCAGCAAGTGAAGATCTAGTGAGGTTAGCTGTAAACTTACTCATCAAGTGAAGATCTAATGAGGTTAGTTGTAAACTTACTCAGCAAGTGAAGATCTAGTGAGGTGAGCTGTAAACTTACTCATCAAGTGAAGATCTAATGAGGTAAGTTGTAAACTTACTCAGCCAGTAAATATCAAGTGAGGTTAGTTGTAACTTACTCAGTAAGTGAAGATCTAGTGAGGTTAGTTGTAAACTTACTCAGCAAGCAAATATCAAGTGAGGTTAGTTGTAAACTTACTCAGCAAGTGAAGATCTAGTGAGGTTAGTTATATACTTACTTAGCAAGTAAATATCAAGTGAGGTAAGTTGTATACTTTCTCAGTCAATATTCATTATTGTTAACTTGATCTGTCACATGTTATAACTAGGTTTAGTATGCTGCATGCTAATATTTACAGTAATAATAAGTTGCCCTCATTATGGAAAGTAAAAAAGGCAAAAAATTTAAAACCTTTCCGATATCCTTACAGTAATGGAGAATGTTTTTGCATTTGTGTTGAACCATAAAGTTATTCATCATCATCATCATCATAAATCACCAAGATGTTATTCTTCTAATGCCTCTAATGACAATGCCACAAGTCTATGGTAATGTTCAATGTCTTCCTCTCAGAGATGGGGGTGCCTTATAATGTGATATACTGATATATGAATGTGCAAAACAAATTTAAAATGTTTTTAAGGTCAAGGTCACTGTTACTAAAAATGGACCATAGGGTACAGTATTTACCTCAGAATACAAAAGACTAAACTTTTGGCAATTTCACATGGTGATACACTGATATGTAGATGTTCAAAAGGGTTTAAAAAGGTTCTAGAGTCAAGTTCACTATTACTGAAAAAAGATTGGGATGTGGAAGGTAAACAGTCTCAGGCACATGGTGGGGCCCCTAATGACAGGCTGCCAGTGTTCCAGTCACAAACAAAGATAGACTTATACATTTTCTGTTTATACAGTGAACTTCGACTTGCCTGCACCTGGCCCAGTCTATCTGAGGATATGATCGTTGAGAACCAGAATTACAGGTAACGTACTCTACAGTTTGTAAAGCTAGCATTACATAGATATGTTTTTTCACTAGGGATGGGGGCTTATTTGCGGTCAACACTGTCTGTGAAGGAACTCACTGAGCCTCCTTTGGTTGTCCATTGTGATATAAAACTAAATTATGTAATTTGTCTCTTTATCCACCACCTCAATAGTTTCTGAGAACATTCTACTTGAATACCTCTAAGTTGATCTTCCACTACTGTTATTTTTAGCCGACCATCATCAGATCATCAGGTGGACTACTCAAATTTCCTGTAGTCTATGGTCCATTGTCCATCCGTCCTTAAACAGTTCTTATTATCCATAGTACTCAACAAGTGCTGAACACATCTTTCTCAAATTTCTTAGAAAGGTGCCCCTTGGTCCCTTGTTGTGAGTCACAGCAATAAAGGAAAATCAAGTCGTTCTGCATGGTGTGCAGTTATTTATTACCCTGATTAAGAGATAGACACATGTACTTGAAGATATGGTGTAGATAATCAAAACCTGAAATGTGCAATATGCCAAAGTAAAGTTTGAGCTAATTTAAGGAATTTTCCCAAAATATGTTTTATATTGCAGTAAAATAAAACTATTTCTGTAACCTTCATTGACTTAACAGTCCTGTCAGTGTATATAGTAGTTGTTTGGACTCTGGAGTAAGTCCAGTACGTACATGTTATAGCTCCGTCCATCTGAACGGTTACACGACTATACAATTGTGTTTTATTTAAAACTCACTCACCAACGTACGACTTCCTCACCAGTCACATCTGGACACGTACTCAAGACATCACCAAATATGGATAACACTGACCTTACCGAACAGGTAACACACCAAATATGGATAACACTGACATTACAGAACAGGTAACACACCAAATATGGATAAGACTGACATCACACCAAATATGGATAACACGGACATTACCGAACAGGTAACACAACAAATATGGATAACACTGACATTACCTAACAGGTAACACACCAAATATGGATAACACTCACATCACACCAAATATGGATAACACTGACATTACCGAACAGGTAACACACCAAATATGGATAACACTGACATTACTGAACAGGTAACACACCAAATATGGATAACACTGACATCACACCAAATATGGATAACACTGACATCACACCAAATATGGATAACACTGACATTACCGAACAGGTAACACAACAAATATGGACATATACATGAAGATATGAACAGTATCAAACATTCCATCGAACACAGACAGTAGACATAGGGGCTTTCTTCAACAGGACACTAAAACAAAATGGCTGCTAAGCAGCCATCTTTATTAGTTCCCACCGGTTCCCAGGGGGGACTAAAGGTTTGCACTCTGTCCGTCCGTCATCCTTACGTCCAAGAAGTTTGTCCATGACATATCTTCTATACTTTTTCACCTGGAGTAACCAGATTTGGTGTACAAAGACATCTTGGGGTGGCGGAGTGCAATAATTCGGTCACTGTGACCTATGACCTTACCTTTGGCCACCAGGCAGACATTTTGGATTTAAAGAGTAAGAATTTGTTATTACTACTTCTCAAAAAGTACTTGACAGATCTTTCTTTAATTTCATATGAAGGTTTTCCTTTGTTCTTTTTTATGCATGTTTCCTTTTGGGAGTCATCGTGACAGTTCTTTCTCAAATTTCATATGAAAGTTCCCCTTGGTTCCTAGTTGTGCATGTATTTGGGACCGACTGGAAAAAGAAGATGGCCATCAGACGGTCATCTTGGATTTTGAGATATGACCTCACTTTGAAAGGAAACTGTCAAATCCAGCATTATAAAAAGTTTGATCATTACTACAAAATGCATTTACTTCTGACAAGACTATCAATCCAATAGTAGATAAAGAAATGAAGGAAAAAGATCAAACTGACATAAAAGTGATGAAGATCTTAGGATGGTTGGGGCCAAGATCCCTCTGGGATCTCGTGTGAGGAAGCTCTTTGATAATTAATGGATCCCCCTCTGTGATGGTTGAAAAAAATTCTCTTGACACATGTACAACACTGTTCAGCCTTGTTACATGGTCCTGTTCAGACCCAGGTCATTGGCGATGTTGATGAGACCTGCTCACCTTGTTATATGATCCTGTTCAGACCCGGGTCACTGGCAATGTTGATGAGACCTGCTCACCTTTATTTGGCTTTCTGTGTATTATATGACCAATGAAAAATTTCATCCACCCATGTCATCAATGGTCACAATACTTTTGCTAGTTGACAAAATTTACTGAAATGGAAATGAGCTCAGACCTTCTCCTGTACAGTTAGCAATGCCTTGTGATTGTAGTTGTAATAAGAATCATATAATATGTTCATTAGGTCCCTCCTTGTTAGGATTAGTATTTTGACAGTTGTTTTTTTATTTATTTTTCAGTGACCTTGACCCACTGCAGGCTCCTCAGTGGTCAGTAAAAATCGGCATGTCAGATGACCCTAATTGCTTACTAGGTATGCAATAACAGTTGACTACACAGTGTGACAATTGTGACCACCTAGGTGTCATTTGTATTAAGTTTAAACTTAACTTTTTGTAATAATAATATTCAACATACTGGTGATGATGGGCTGATGTAATCACCCTTTAGCCAGGGTCCTTCATCCATCTGTCGTTCATTGTCTATCTTTAAACAATTAATGTCATCAATATTTCTCACAAAGAACTTTTACAGTTCTTTCTTAAATTTCACTTTCATACAAGCCATGGGTGCCCCTCCCCATTGGGGGCAGAGGGATGGGACCCAATAAAGTAAGGGTGTTGCTGAGAGACAGACCCAATATTTGGAAATATTTTCAGTATAATATTCAATGAGAATATTTTGCCAAAAATGCTTGAATAACAAGGTGAGCAATACAGGCCATCTGGGCCTCTTGTTTTCTGGTCATATTTTTGGTAAAAGCACTGATATGTAGTGAAGATTAAACCGTTTGTGCATGTGGTTTCTTGAGATGTCAACACAGATTTCAGTAATTTGTTGTAACAACTGCAGGCATGAATAAAAAATAATATCATAATTGGCAATGTTCTTTCATCATTTTGTAGGCCATTACCTACAGAGCTTTGTGAAGCATGGCTACAGACAGGAGACTACAGAAGAACTACTCTGGAATATGGTGGTCACAGATGAGGAGCCAGGTAGGTCTGATAGAGACAGGAGACTACAGATGAGGAGCCAGGTAGGTCTGATAGAGACAGGAGACTACATACAAGGAGACAGGTAGATCTGATACAGAGAAGAGTTAACAGATGAGGAGACAGGTAGGTATGATAGAGACAGGAGACTACAGATGAGGAGACAGGTAGGTCTGATACAGACAGGAGACTGCATACAAGGAGACAGATAGATCTGATACAGACAGGAGTTCACAGATGAGGAGACAGGTAGGTCTGATACAGACAGGAGACTACATACAAGGAGACAGATAGATCTGATACAGACAGGAGTTTACAGATGAGGAGACAGGTAGGTCTGATATAGACAGGAGACTACAGATGAGGAGACAGGTAGGTCTGATATAGACAGGAGACTACAGATTAGGAGACCGGTAGGTCTTATACAGACAGGAGACTACAGATGAGGAGACAGGTAGGTCTGATACATACAGATCAAATATTCAACTTCACAGAGGTTAAATGGTTTAAAAAGATTTTGAATAAGTTTCTTCTGAATAGATTAAAGACCTAAGGTGATAATATTTTGCCTGAAGCAGGCCGGCATGAAGGGTTAATTAGTTTGTTCAAATGAAAATCTTCACTAATATTCAAGGTCACAGGGGCCAGATTTGTTAAAAACTTCAAAATAAAAACTTTTCATAACCCAAAAAGCATCGGGTCGAGATTTTTGTGAGAAGCATGCTGGGATCAGGACTATAAAATTTGGTCAAATAAATTTGGCCTTCTAAGAACCATTCTTAGGTGATGAGTATTCAAAAATTGTACAAATGGAGGAGCTGACCCCACTGGTGGGCGCCAAGACCCCTGTGGGATCTCTTGTTTTAACTTGGAAATGATTAAGATTCCTAACATATAACCAAATATACAATTGCGGAGTATAAAGACACAAATACAGATGTACACATATTCTAGCAGAATAACACAGGGGTGGCCCCACCCATGTAGTCACTTGGTCATTATTTTTAAATGGTGGAGATTCCCATTCCCTTATCCATATACATTTGCTAAGTACAAGTGACTGATACAATAATGACATTAGATTTGACTCTGGAGTCTTGCCACACCCCTAGGGACTTGTTCTATTGTCAAAACTTTTTAAACTGTTGAGATCCTCCCCACCCTTTAGCCATTTATAAAATTGCTGAGCATAAACAGATGAATATAGTTATTGATGGTATTAGAATTGACCCTGGGGTCTGGCCACACCCTAGGGACTTAGTCATTGAGTCGTAACTTAGAAACCTTTGAGATCCTAAACCTATTATAATATATGCATTTGCTTAGCATGAAGTTTTGAATACACAAATGCTGGCAAGATGGGCCCAGGGGACTGGCCTTATCCTTAAGTCTTTTTTTCGTCATACTGCTTTCATTAAGGATCTTTTGCCATAATTGCTTAAATATCCAGGTGAGCTATACCGGCCCTCTAGTTGGGCCTCTGGTTTAATGGAAAGAATACAAACAGACACTATATTGTTAATTATGAGAGGATGACGTTGCTAGTGAGGTATGTGTGTAACGAGGTACTATATAATCATTTACTACATATCACAGGTTTTGTATCATTTGGTATACCTTGCTTTTAATTGGTCAACAATAAAGATTTTAGCTTTAAGGAAATGGCATTGATGTATCTGATGGTTTGTAGACCAGACGGGAGACATCAGCCAAGCTCTTCAGAAACTGACAGAGCCAAATGTAGGCTACAGCATTCCGTCAATCTCCAACGTGGTCAATCGGGCCAGTAGTCGCATGACTGTGAAGACAGGGGTGGCACCAATATCTGCAGATCTTCTCAACGAGATTCTTGAGGTGAGAAACTGATCACATCACCATATCACCAGGTGTTTATACTTGAATTATATCATATTTATTTGTGATACTATTAGCCCTGGTTAATTACATACTTTAAGATACTGTTAACATATAGCATGAACACAGATAGTGATAATATTGAGATCACACCAGGAAGACATATTCGTTTTGTGTTTTTGACTGATTGTTCTTGTTCATATTTTCAATAGTACTGGTAAACAAGGCAGAAATTACTAGATAAACAGAAAATGTATAACGTATAAAGATATATTTCAAACTACACAGTGCTGTATAAATAGAAAATATGCTAAACATTGTATGCAACTAACATTGACAGCTGTTAAGTAATATATTTTATAATGTGATATATATTATACTGTTATATACGTTGCTGTGTTATCGTCCTAAGTAAAGAGAATCAGGAACCAGGAAAATGTGTAATCAAATTTCGATACACGTACTAGACTATAGATTGATAGAATAGAATACTATAACCTACCATTGTACAAAGTATTGTATTATTACCTATCATTGTACAAGGTATTGTACTATTACATTCCATTGTACAAGGTATTGGACCATTACCTACCATAGCGCAAGGTATTGTACCATTACATACCATTGTACAAGGTATTGGACCATTACCTACCATAGTGCAAGGAATTGTACCATTACCTACCATTTTACAAGGTATTGTACCATTACATACCATTGTACAAGGTATTGTAATATTACCTATCATTGTACTAAGTATCACACCATTACAGACCATTGTACAAGGTATTATACCATTACCTACCATAGTACAAGGTATTGTACTATTTCCTTCCATTGTACAAGGTATTGTAATATTACCTACCATTGTACAAGGTATTGTACCATTACCTATCATTGTACTAAGTATCATACCATTACAGACCATTGTACAAGGTATTGTATTATTACCGACCATCGTACAAGGTATTGTACCATTACCTACCATTGTACTAAGTATCATACCATTACCTATCATTGTACAAGGTATTGTATTATTACCTACTTTTGTACAAGGTATTGTAATATTACCTATCATTGTACAAGGTATTGTACTATTATCTACCATTGTACTAAGTATCATACCATTACCTACCATTGTACAAGGTATTGTACTATTACCTATCATTGAACAAGGTATTGTATTATTACCTACCATTGTACAAGGGATTGTACTATTACCTACCATTGTACAAGGGATTGTACTATTACCTACCATTGTACAAGGTATTGTACCATTCCCTACCATTGTACAAGGTATTGTACTATTACCTATCATTGAACAAGGTATTGTATTATTACCTACCATTGTACGAGGTATTGTATTATTACCTACCATTGTACAAGGTATTGTACTATTACATACCATTGTACAAGGTATTGTACTATTACCTTCCATTGTACAAGATATTTTACTATTACCGACCATTATACAAGGTATTGTATTATTACCTACCATTGTACGAGGTATTGTATTATTACCTACCATTGTACAAGGGATTGTACTATTACCTACCATTGTACAAGGGATTGTACTATTACCTACCATTGTACAAGGTATTGTAATATTACCTATCATTGTACAAGGTATTGTATTATTACCAACCATTGTACATGGTATTGTACTATTACCTACCATTGTACAAGGTATTGTAATATTACCTATCATTGTACAAGGTCTTGTACTATTATCTACCATTGTACTAAGTATCATACCATTACCTACCATTGTACAAGGTATTGTACTATTACCTTCCATTGTACAAGGTATTGTACTATTACCTTCCATTGTACAAGGTATTGTACTATTACCTTCCATTGTACAAGGTATTTTACTATTACCTACCATTGTACAAGGTATTGTACCATTCCCTACCATTGTACAAGGTATTGTACTATTACCTTCCATTGTACAAGATATTTTACTATTACCAACCATTGTACATGGTATTGTACCATTACCTATCATTGTACAAGGTATTGTATTATTACCTACCATTGTACAAGGTATTGTACTATTACCTTCCATTGTACAAGATATTTTACTATTACCAACCATTGTACATGGTATTGTACCATTACCTATCATTGTACAAGGTATTGTACTATTACCTATCATTGTACAAAGTATTGTACCATTACCTACCATTGTACAAGGTATTGTATTATTACCGACCATTGTACAAGGTATTGTACTATTCCCTACCATAGTACAAGGTATTGTATTATTACCTACCATTGTACAAGGTATTGTACTATTACCTACCATTATACAAGGTATCATACCATTACCGACCATTGTACAAGGTATTGTACTATTACCTACCATTGTACAAGGTATTTTACTATTACCTACCATTGTACAAAGTATTGTACCATTACCTACCATTGTACAAGGTATTCTACCATTACCGACCATTGTAAAAGGTATTGTACTATTACCGACTATTGTACAAGGTATCATACTGTTTTCTAACAATTACCAGCTTGAATTATATCTACCTTATTTCTTTATTACATCAAATAACAACAGTATCACTACTCAGGGGATGGTTAGGTCCCATGGGCATCTTTTTCTGATTGTTTCAGAATCTTAGATGGCCAGCTTTACACCACTTCTACCTCCATCTGGAAGTTATTCACTTTCTCAACATTATGATAAATTTTACTAGATATTAGATATTATAAATATTAGCTGTCATGGCCTTTTCGGAGACACAGGCCCCTTGGACCACTTTTTTGAGTAAGGCTTAGTAGTTTGTACTTTATGTTTACCAGATCCTTTTTTATCTTCTTTCATAGCTTTTGTTCCCGGATGCAAAGGATTCTTTTGAGAAACAAAAGGAAGATGGTGAAGAGGAGAAGGAGACGGATGCAACAGAAACTGATCCTCCAGAGTCAGACAACCGATACACAGAGGTCCTCAGGGTACAGTACTTGTATATATTTACTGTTAACTGGTGCAGATGTCATCAGGGTACAGCACATGTATATATTTACTGACAACTGTTACAGTGTCCTCAGGGCACAGTACATGTATATATTTACTGACAACTGGTACAGAGGTCATCAGGGTACAATACATGTATATATTTACTGACAACTGGTACAGAGGTCATCAGGGTACAATACATGTATATATTTACTGACAACTGGTACAGAGGTCATCAGGGTACAATACATGTATATATTTACTGACAACTGGTACAGAGGTCATCAGGGTACAATACATGTATATATTTACTGACAACTGGTACAGAGGTCATCAGGGTACAATACATGTATATATTTACTGACAACTGGTACAGAGGTCATCAGGGTACAATACATGTATATATTTACTGACAACTGGTACAGAGGTCATCAGGGTACAATACATGTATATATTTACTGACAACTGGTACAGAGGTCATCAGGGTACAATACATGTATATATTTACTGACAACTGGTACAGAGGTCATCAGGGTACAATACATGTATATATTTACTGACAACTGGTACAGAGGTCATCAGGGTACAATACATGTATATATTTACTGACAACTGGTACAGAGGTCATCAGGGTACAATACATGTATATATTTACTGACAACTGGTACAGAGGTCATCAGGGTACAATACATGTATATATTTACTGACAACTGGTACAGAGGTCATCAGGGTACCGAACATCAATATATTTACTGACATCTGGTACAGTGGTCCTCAGGGCACAGTACATGTATATATTTACTGACAACTGGTGCAGAGGTCCTCAGGGTACAGAACATGTATATATTTACTGTAAACTGGTACAGAGGTCCCCGGGTCACAATACATGTACATATTTACCGTCAACTGGTACAGAGGTCCTCGGGGTACAGTACATGTATATATTAACTGACAACTGGTACAGACGTCCTCAGGGTACAGCACATGTATATATTTACTGACAACTGGTACAGAGGTCCTCAGGTTACAGAACATTTATATATTTACTGACAACTGTGACAGTGTCCTCAGGGCACAGTACATGTATATATTTACCGACAACTGGTACAGAGGTCCTCAGGGCACAGTCCATGTATATATTTACTGACAACTGGTTCAGAGGTCCTCAGGTTACAGAACATTTATATATTTACTGACAACTTGTACAGAGGTCCTTATTTACTGACAACTGTGAAAGTGTCCTCAGGGCACAGTACATGTATATATTTACCGACAACTGGCACAGAGGTCCTCGGGGTACAGTACATTTACTGTAAACTGGTACAGAGGTCCCCGGGTCACAATACATGTACATATTTACCGTCAACTGGTACAGAGGTCCTCGGGGTACAGTACATGTATATATTTCCTGACAACTGGTACAGAGGTCCTCGGGGTACAGTACATGTATATATTTACTGACAACTGGTACAGATGTTATATATTTACTGACAACTGTGACAGTGTCCTCAGGGCACAGTATATGTATATATTTACTGACAACTGGTACAGAGGTCCTCAGGGCACAATACATGTATATATTTACTGACATCTGGTACAGAAGTCCTCAGGGTACCGACCTCCTATATATTTACTGACATCTGGTACAGTGGTCCTCAGGGCACAGTACATGTATATATTTACTGACAACTGGTACAGAGGTCATCAGGGTACAGCACATGTATATATTTACTGACAACTGGTACAGAGGTCCTCAGGGCACAATACATGTATTTATTTACTGAAAACTGGTACAGAAGTCCTCAGTATACAGTACATCTATATATTTACTGAAAACTGGTGCAGAGGTCCTCAGGGTACAGAACATCTATATATTTACTGACAACTGGTACAGAGGTCCTCAGGATACAGAACATCTATATATTTACTGACAACTGGTACAGAAGTCCTCAGGGCACAGTGCATGTATATATTTACTGACAACTGGTACAGTGTCCTCAAGGCACAGTTCATGTATTTATTTACTGAAAACTGGTACAGTGTCCTCAGGGCACAGTACATGTATATATTTACTGACGACTGGTACAGAGGTCCTCAGGGCACAGTACATCTATATATCTATTGACAACTGGTACACAGGTCCTCAGGGTACAGTACATCTATATATTTACTGACAACTGGTACAGAGGTCCTCATGGCACAATACATGTATATATTTACTGACATCTGGTACAGAAGTCATCAGGGTACAGAACATGTATATATTTACTGACAACTGATAAAGAAGACATCAGGGTACAGTACATGTATATATTTACTGAAAAATGGTACAGAGGTCCTCAGGGCACAGAACATGCATATATTTACTGACATCTGGTACAGAAGTCCTCAGGGTACTGAACATCTATATATTTACTGACATCTTGTACAGTGGTCCTCAGGGCACAATACATGTATATATTTACTGACAACTGGTACAGAGGTCCTCAGGATACAGAACATCTATATATTTACTGACAACTGGTACAGAGGTCCTCAGGATACAGAACATCTATATATTTACTGACAACTGGTACAGAGGTCATCAGGGTACAGTACATGTATATATTTACTGAAAAATGGTACAGAGGTCCTCAGGGCACAGTACATGCATATATTTACTGACATCTGGTACAGAAGTCCTCAGGGTACTGAACATCTATATATTTACTGACATCTGGTACAGTGGTCCTCAGGGCACAATACATGTATATATTTACTGACAACTGGTACAGAAGTACTCAGGGTACCGACCTTCTATATATTTACTGACATCTGGTACAGTGGTCCTCAGGGCACAGTACATGTATATATTTACTGACAACTGGTAGAGAGGTTCTCAGGGTACAGAACATCTATATATTTACTGAAAACTGGTACAGTGTCCTCAAAGCACAGTTCATGTATTTATTTACTGAAAACTGGTACAGAAGTCCTCAGTATACAGTACATCTATATATTTACTGAAAACTGGTGCAGAGGTCCTCAGGGTACAGAACATATGTATATATTTACTAACAACTGGTACACAGGTCCACAGGGTACAGTACATAAATATATATTTACTGACAATTGGTACAGAGGTCCTCATGGCACAATACATGTATATATTTACTGACAACTTGTACAGAGGTCCTAAGGGCACAATACATGTATATATTTACTGACAACTGGTACAGAGGTCCTCAGGTTACAGTTCTTGTATATATTTACTGACAACTGGTACAGAGGTCCTCAGGGCACAGTACATGTATATATTTACTGACAACTGGTACAGATGTCCTCGGGGTACAGTACATGTATACTGAACAAAAAAAGAAACACACAATTAAATTATGCAATCAATAGCCTATGATATTTTAGGAAATTTGTGCAAAATTTGATATCAATATGAAGGGACAAGTCTACTCTTTACAATACTGTAGAAGAAAAGTCTCTGTGACGTCACTCGTGTTTTCAGTAGTTACTCAAAAGTGGGATACCCGCGAAAAACAAAATGACATTTTAGTACCTGGTGTGGGCACCTTTTGCATGAATCCCTGCACGGATTCTCCTATGCATTGAATTCAAGAGAACATTTATTCGCCTTAAGGGAATGTTGTTCCATTCTTTTGTTAATGCTGCGATCAACTGACCGCTGTTAGTTGGGGGGTTTTGATGTTTCCTTATACGCCTGTCCAGCTCATCCCACAGATCCTCAATGAGAGACATGTCGGGGCTATATGGGGGCCATTCCAGAGGCTGAATGTTGTTTGCCATGAGAAAATCACGACAGACACTGGCAACATGCGGTCGAGCATTGTCTTGCTGGAAAATTAGGTTATGACGTCTGAGAAGTGGAAGGACATGTTGTTGGAGGATCTGGACTCTGTATCGAACGGCATTGAGGTTTTGATCCAGGACTACTAAGGGGGATTTTACTCTATGGGAGGTGCCTCCCCAAACCATTACAGAAGCCCCACCGAATCTATTGCGTTCAACCACGCATGTGTCGGCAAAACGCTCACCGCGTCTGCGATATACCCTTTTTGTTCCGTCTGAGCGATACAGACAGAATCTAGACTCGTCGGTGAACACCACACGCCTCCATCGACGCATCCCAAACCTATTCCGGCCATGTCTGTGCATCCAGTCAAGATGCACTTGCCGCCTCCGTGGTGTCAGAGGTGGCCCGACATAAGGTCGGCGCAATGATTCTCTCGGCACACAAGCGGTTCCTGGCAGTTTGAGGACTAATGGGTCTGCCATGAGTACCTAAGGTATGTGACAGCAGTCTTGAATCTGTTGTGCAAGTGCGACAATCAAATCGCCCTGTCTTGTCGTGCGGTCATTACACGCAGACGACTGCTCCTGGGACGATCGGAAACTAACCCAGTAGCACGGAAACCTGTACAGAGACGGTTAATTGTACACGGGCCAACGCCAAACTGCCGTGCGACAGCAGTTTGGCTATGACCATCCATCAACATCGCAATTGCTCTACCCCTCTGAATTTGCGTTAAGCGTGGCATCTCAGTCAATTGCGAAATCAAAATGCCAATGTGGAAAATTAATGTGGCTGAACTTAGAGTATCCGTTGAGATTATTTGTTTGAAAAACTTTGACTTGGCTTGATCATGCCGCGTGATTTGGACTAAAGAAGGCACAAAGTCACACAATGATATCGTCACGCTTGGCTGATTTTAGGGTATATTGTTGAGAAGGGAGATCATTCTTGATGTAATACCTGACCAAATATTCCATTATTTCCTTACAGCTAATATAAGGTGAACTGCAGGGGGGAACTTTGTGCGTTTCTTTTTTTGTTCAGTATATATAACAGGTAATATATGGCACTTATGTTGAATATTTACATTTTTCCAGAACCTATCAAAGCAGTTGAAGTCTTGTCCCAAAGACACATTGGTGCATAGCCTTGCTGTGTGTCTTTGTATTATCAACATTGGTAATGGGGGCCTGCGAGGCTTGGCCCAACTATGGCAGGAGTTTGTGCTGGAGATGAGGTACAGATGGGAGAATAAATGTTTGATCAAAGGGTAAGTCTTGTCAGGGATCTGTTTGCTGATTCTTATTTCAATGAGAGAACACTGCAGTTTTATTTTGGCAAAACTTCTTGTTCTATTGGTTATTTCATAATTAATGAGATTTAATTTGTGTGAGAATTCAAGTGTGTTAACTTATAGTTTTTTAGCTCACCTGGCACGAAGTGCCAAGTGAGCTTATGCCGTGGCGCCGCGTCCGTCCGTCAATATTTTACTTTAAACGATTTCTTCTTAATATCCGAAAGGCCTAAGGTGATGATATTTGGCCAGAAGCAAACTGGGATGAAGGGCTACCAAGTTTGTTCAAATGAATGACCTTCAAATGTATTCAAGGTCACAGGGGCCAATTGTCTTAAAAAAACTTTAAACAACTTATTCTGAATAACCAAAATGCCCAGGGTGATGATATTTGGTCAGTAGCATGCTAAGATGAAGGGCTTCCAAGTTTGTTCAAATGAATGACCTTCACCCATATTCAAGATCACAGGGGTCAAATATGTTAAAAACTTTAAACAACTTCTTCTGAATAACCAAAATGCCCAAGGTGATGATATTTGGCCAGTAGCATGCTGAGATGAAGGGCTATCAAGTTTGTTCAAATGAATGACCTTGATCCACTTTCAACCTAATGTCCTTGTTCGACAATTAAGGTCAGAGGCGTCATATGTTTAAATCTTTAAATAGGTTCTTATGAAATCTTAAGATTACAAGTGTTAGATTAATAACAGGTGAGCGATGCAGGCCCATTGGTCCTCTTGTTTGATACTTGGCATCTACATCATTCTTCATCTTATAACCAGCATACATTGTTTTAAAAAACACTACATCATTCTTCATCTTATAACAAGCATACATTGTTTTACATATCAGTACTGCATCATTCTTCATCTTTAACCAGCATACATTGTTTTACATATCACCACCTCATTCTTCATCTTATAACCAGCATACATTGTTTTACATATCACCACATCATTCTTCATCTTAAAGCCAGCATACATTGTTTTACATATCACCACCTCATTCTTCATCTTATAGCCAGCATACATTGTTTTACATATCACCACCTCATTCTTCATCTTAAAGCCAGCATACATTGTTTTACATATCACCACCTCATTCTTCATCTTATAGCCAGCATACATTGTTTTACATATCACTGCATCATTCTTCATCTTATAACAAGCATACATTGTTTTACATATCACCACCTCATTCTTCATCTTATAGCCAGCATACATTGTTTTACATATAGCTACATCATTATTCATCTTATTACCAGTATACATTGTCATCCCCTGTTTTCACTGAAACAGGAGATATTAATTTGGGTCTGTCTATCTGACTGTCTGTCTGTCTAGCTGACCCTATTTGGCAGAGGTATGGCCCCTTGAATGATGAAAAACGTCATTATCTGCCGCGCTTCGTTTCCGTGCAATAACTACAACAAATGTTAACCAATTTTCTTCAAACTTGGTCACAGGGTTAAATACCTTAAGGGCGCGGCTAAGTTTGATGACCACTCTCAGGGAACCCCATTTGGCGGAGTAATGGCCCCTTGAATAATGAAAAACATCATTATCTGCCGCGCTTCGTTTCCATGCAATAACTACAACTAATGTTAACTGTTTTTCTTCAATCTTGATCACTGGGTTTGGCGAGTTATAGATATAGATATTGTTAAGATGTTTCAACCAAATTCCTTATGCACATCCAACTCATGCTAAGTTTGCCAACCGATGTGATTTGTGCATATTTACGGATAATCAATGAGGTATGGGGCACTTTTTTCTTTCTTCAAGTTTCAAGCTATACATTATGTCTCAACAGCACGATACTCACATGTTTAAACCTACCCTCAATAATGTTAACCTACAATATATCCTGCAAGAGGGGGATATAAATTCCATGAATTTGCTTGTTTTTATGCCGTACTACGGCGTCCATCGTCTGTCTGTTTTTAGCTCACCTGGTCCGAATGACCAAGGTGAGCTTATGCCATATCGTTGCTTCCTTTGTCCTTCCGTCGTCCGTGCGTCCGTCCGTCAACAATTTCCTTAAACGACTTCTTCTTCTTAACCACTAATTGGAATTCAACTAAATTTGACTGGAAGCATCCCTAGGTGATGGGGATTCAAAATTGTACAAATGGTGGGGCTGACCCCCCAGGGGGCTGAGAGGCGGGGCCAAAAGGGGTCAATTTGGATAGATTGCTTTAAGCGACTTCTTCTCTGGAACTAAGAAGTGGATATCAACCATATTTGACTGGAAGCATCCCTAGGTGGTTGGGATTCAAAATTGTACAATTGATGGGGCTGACCCCCCAGGGGGCTGAGGGGCGGGGCAAAAAGCGGACAATTTGGCTATACTGCTTTCAGCAACTTCTTCTCTAAAACTGAGAGATGGATATCAACCATATTTGACTGAAAGCATCCCTAGGTGATGGAGATTCAAAATTGTACAAATGGTTGGGCTGACCCCCCAGGGGGCTGAGGGGCGGGGCCAAAAGGGGGCAATATCGCTATATTGCTACAAACGACTTCTTCTGTAGAACTATGCCATGGATATCAACCATATTTGACTGGATGCATCTCTAGGTGTCAGGGATTCAAAATTGTACAAATAGTTCGGCTGACCCCCGAGGGGGCTGAGGGGCGGGGCCAGAAGGAGTCAATGAGGCTTTATTGCTTCAATCGACTTCTTCTCTGGAACTAAGAAGTCGATATCAACCATATTTGAATGGAAGCATCCCTAGGTGTCAGGGATTCAAAATGTACAAATGATCGAGCTGACCCTCCAGGGGGCTGAGAGGCGGGGCAAAAAGGGGTCAATTTTGCAATATTGCTTTAAGCGACTTCTTCTCTGGAACTTAGAGGTGGATATCAACCATATTTGACTGGAAGCATCCCTAGATGGTGGGTATTCAAAATTATACAAATGGTGGGGCTGAGGGTGGGGCCAAAAAGGGGTCAATTTTGCTATATTGCTATAAACGACTTCTACTGTAGAACTATGGTTTCTGAGTCAAAGCTTGGAAACAGTTGAGATCCTCACCCCATAACCATACATAAAATTGCTGGGTATGCAGATTCTAATACAGATATGCTACTTTAGGATTGGCCTTGGGGTCTGGCACATTCCGTTGATCTCATTCGGAGAATATTTTGCCATGATTGCTTTGGTATCCAGGTGAGCGTTACAGGCCCTCTGGGCCTCTTGTTCTTTTAAACGACTTCTTCTGAAGAACTGGAGGACCTAGGGTCATGATATTTGGCCAGTAGGTACCTGGGATGGAGTGCTATAAACTGTCCTCATTAAAATGACGTTGACTTACTTTCAAGGTCACAGGGGTCAAAAATGTTCAAAAATTGAAACAACAATATCCTAGGAACCATTTGGACTAGAGTCATGATACTTGGGTATGTTATGTAGACCAGCAGTGTGAATCATTTTCTCAATTACAGTAATGAGGTCAAAGGTCAATTTTTAATGCTAGTCTGGGGTCAAAAGTCAACATGGGTTAAAAGCTTTAACAATCTTATTCTCAATTTCCATAAGGTCCAGGGTCATAATATTTGGCCAATAGGTACCTGGGATGGAGTGCTATAAAGTTTCCTCGTTAAAATGACCTCAACCTACTTTCAAGGTCACAGGGGTCAAATATGTTAAAAACTTCAAACAACAATATCCTAAACACTATTTGGACTAGAGTCATGATACATGAGTATGTTATGTAGACCAGCAGTGCGAATCATTTTCTTTCACAGTAATGATGTTAAAGGTCAACTTTAAGTGCTAGTTGGGGGTCAAAAGTCAACATGGTTTAAAAGCTTTAAAGTTACAATCAAATTTCAAACAACAATATCTTAAGTGTTTAAGAGATGTTAAAATGTCTTGTCTCTGGGCCTCTTGTTTATTATGTAAATTTTCATCAGATTGAAATAACAAAAACTCACTATAATGAATATGTATTATTCTTGCATTCCATGTAAACTATATATCCTTTCCTTTTCATTCCAATTTTCACATTCATTCACTCATTATTTTCATTATTTAGAGAAGGTAAATTAAAAAAAAACTCGGTGCAATACATAAAAGCACAGTATATCACAAACGATTCTTTTTGTACTTATTCATTACAGTAGCAACATAATTGTATGTGTATTAATTATAGTTGTGATTTCAATGAATGAATTTAAGCAAAGAATGTATGATTTTGTCTGTTTGCACTTATTATATTATCTGCTGTAATTTTCAATCGGTTTGTTATCATATTTAATAATGATAGTGGAATTTGATCTTCATTTTCAAATTTCTGTAGATTTCTTGCCTTCCAAATAAGCCATTTAGACCGAAATATGATTAGATTACATAGTTTATTAGGTCACCTGAGCTTTGCTCAAGTGACCTGTTCCGATCACTTTCCGTCCGCCGTCGTCGTCCGTCGTGCTTAAACTCTTTACGTTTTCAACTTCTCAAGAACAATGCAGTGGATGGAATTTTTTCAAACTTGGTCAGAATCATCCTTGGTAGATGAGGCTACAAAATTGTAAAATTGGGATTCCTACCCCAACCCCGGGGGCCAGGGCGGGGCCCCAAAGGGAAAATTAACCAATATTTCAAAAATCTTATTCTACAGACTCAGAGGTACTACAGTCATTTTCTCTGCATGGATAGAAAGATCATCAGGGTCTTTACTTAAATTGTAAATTTCAGGACCCCCGAGCTATTTGTTCTCCCTTGGGGAGGGGTAAAGTTTACTATAGTTTATATTGGGAAACAACACTTTTGTGTATATTTTGACAATTTTCTGTAGGAAATTATTCTTACTTGGTAAGAATTATCCTTGGAGGAAGATGGTTTTAAAATGTAAAATTGAGATTCCTACCCCAACCCTAGGGGCCAGGGCAGGCCCCAAAGGGAAAATTTACCAATATTTCAAAAATCTTCTTCTCCAGACTCAGAGGTACTACAGTCAATTTCAGTGCATGGAT